TTCCTAATCTGCCTCGTGGTCTACACTCTGTCATCGTACTTTATTTTTAGGTGTACCTTTAAAACAGTTGTGATAATAGTAACGTACTGTAATCCATAAACAAAACAATTTCGCACTACAGATGACAAACAAGACAGGATATGCCTTTTGAAAATACGATTAACAAATCCATGCCTGGCATCTAATTAAAACCTGAGCCAGTGTTAGCTCTGACTTAAATACAACAAGGATAAACCTTCAAGAACACAAGATTATCATAAGTATACAGGTTTTGTTTTTATGTTATATTTTTTCTCCAGCTTCACGCTAATGGTCATCCATTGAATCGGAGCCTCCATTTTAGGAAATGACGTCAGGTCATGTATCACCATCATCATCAGTGCTGCGTCCTCATCTTTAACAGCCAGCGCAGAGTTCCAATAATGATGGTAATCTTGTTTCTCTACTAATTCCGTTGCTTGTTCGCAATAGGTCTTGACCACATATGCCTTGTCGTGTATCAGTTCTCCACTCAGTGGTGCAGATCCAGCCAATCTGTCTTACTGTTTATTACCCACTACGCCGGCATAGCCTGGTGAAAAGATCCAAACTATGCACACTACCCGTAACATTCCCATTGAAACTTGCCACTCTGCTCAAAGCATTCCTGTCTTCATCTTTCCCAGCATTACTTCAGAATTACTGTGAAATTATGTCATATAAGGTTCGCTGTTTTCTGTGTCCTTCTATTCTGTGTAAACATTTCGATAGAATTGATGATTCCAATCTAGCGCTTTTGACCTCTCTCATCACAGTTCATTTTGTAAATGTAATTTTGTAAATTATGTAAATACAGTATCTTACAGTGCCGTTTGCAAAGTCACCAGTTTCGTGCCCCTGTCCGAGAACATCCGGTAATACGTGCAGCAGGAGAAAATCAACGCTGAGCCTCATGAACTCAGGTGGGCCCACTCTCTGAAAATGTCTAGGAGCTCGGGGGCCGAAACATTTGTCGACGAGAGATTACTTCTACTGGTGATTGGTAGACTCCTGCTGTACATGCTCCCCTGTGGAGTTTCTTATGCTTTCCCTTTGATGCCCTCGTTTCTTCTTTAATCAAGTTATTCTTCTTCTTCTTTCACTCGCTTGAAATAGATTTTCTATCTCTGCAATGTTGTCTATAGTATGACCTTCACTCGCCGTTGTAATTCAGTCAGCGACCCTTACAGTTGTACTTGTACCGGTGGAGCTCTTGGCAAGAAGTTTTGCCTTGATATGTTGTATTTTAGACATTCTTGGAGTACGTGATCTATTCAAATGTCTTCTATTCTGGTTCATGCTTGGTGATTGTCTACTGATTTCTTCTCAAAATGTTCTCAGTATAGCTTTATCTTCTTTGTAACTCTTGATTTATTATCTTATTGTGTCACTATATGTCACATAGGGCTCGTGATTCCTCCATGCTGTGCAATCAGTTCAATATCATAGATGGAGTTCAATCTAGCATAACACTGAGCGACTGTTCTGTGTGTGTTTGCGTGCGCTTGAGAGCATGCGAACACGCGAACGAGTGTTCAGCTAGAGTATTTTTTCCCCAATTTGTCAACTAAGTCGGCTCTGTGGCTAAGTCGATGCGAACGTTTCCTAATGCCGGCATGCCGGGTTCGATCCCAGCTGCGGGTCATGCGCCTTGTGTTGGTTTCGACAGTGGTATCAAGAAAGCCGACCGACAAGAAAGAAATGGCAAACTATTGGACGTAAATTTGCCTAGAAAAACCACACAACAGCCATGGGCTGTTGGGCTTGGTTCTGCAACGTCCTTTAAAGGATACGCAACTAACTAACCTTGTCAACTAGGTCTCTAGTGCAACCGTCACTGTTTTGAGAATTGATGACATTTTGGGGCGGGCCCTTGATCGAGTCACCAAGTAAGGCCGCAGTGATAGCGATGGAGAGCGAACGCACCACACAAGTAACATACACAGTGCTGGCCGCTTACAACATAGAAAACAGAACGTGCTAACCACTTACAGCATGGAATATAGAATGCTTAGCTGTTAAAAATGACAAAACATGACACCCCTAGAACATAGGTCAGCCTGTGGAAAATCTCGCACCTGGCTAGATAGTGCAATATTTACGATATGTAATTTATCTTCTGCAAGAATTTACAACAAGAAAACAAGAATTTATTTATTTCAGTATACAGTTGTTTATTTATCACATAGAGTCAGAGACTCACACAATTCATATATCACACAAGGGCTTATATAAATAATACACTGTTATTACAGTAAACCTTCTAAACACAAATTCCAAGGGATGAAAAATCCAAAGTTTGTGTTAAATATATTCTTACTAACAGGGGGCTAATAGATGTATAATGCATAATACATCCCATCTAGGACATTTTATTCATGTTCACCCAGTGAGTGTCTTAAGCAAGTTCGTTCTAACAAGGTTTTACTGTTCTACAGACATACAGGATACTGAAGAATCTGATTCTTATAAACAGTTGCAGCATAAATACGTTCTTTCACTTGAAACAAAAATGACATACATTATGTCTTAAATGTATGATCAATGATTAGTAGGTGATGCATTTATCTTGTGGTCCCAATGTAACACATTCTACATAGGAGTTTGTTACTCCGACAGTCTCTAGATTTGGGCCGGTAGATTGGCACTTGACTCACCCAACGACGGATCCATCAGCTGTAAAGATAATATTTTGCAAATTAGAAACTTAAGGACATATTATCTTTCTCTGTCAATTGAGGTAAGAAAAAGAATGCACCAATGGATATATAAACCCCCTATCCTGATATAGGAAGTAAATCATGGAGAGTTGGCCGATTAGCTAAACATTATGTGAAAGGCGAAGATGTGGTTTTACAGAGAAATGGTGAGAAAACACTGCACAGATAAAAATAGTATTGAAAGTGTATTGACAGAAACTCTCTCAAGAAGAAGGAGACAATATACATTCTTTGTTTATGTGATGAGAAGAAAAAAAACTAGAGTACATTGTGACATTGAGAAAGCTGGATGGGAAAAAATTCAGACGCGAAGATGCTGGAAAGTGTTACACCATGACAAAATGTACTGAAAGTACACTATACGAAATATCGCGGGTAGACATGACTACCAGCACAACACGGCAGGGACTAAATGAAGAAGAACTTTTATAAATCACTCAATATTTATAAAGATCTGAGACATGTTAACAAGATCTGAGTTAAAAACTGATTTCAAAGCAGTCGGAGCATTTCCGTACGCGCTCTGTCTCAACCGTCAGCAGTCAGCGCAAAGTTCCAATTCGAGCGGTACGAGAAGCCGTTTGATTATATGTCCGTCTTGATTTTCATCTGAGTGTAAACTACTGGACATATCCCTTGGTCACTCGCAGTTGCCCTTTTTCCCTACACCGTAATGATCGATTCGCACTTCCTTTTCTTTCCCATGCTCCCAAATGGCCTTGTTCATATCTAGCTTGGCACGCATGGATTCCCTAATCAATGTCGCCGTACCAGCCAATCTGTCTCTCAGTTTATTTCCCAACGCAACTACATTACTTAAAAAATAAAAAATAAAAGAATCTACGAGAATAATTCAACATTTGCATATGTAAAATGCCGTGGAAAATTGTAGTTTGCTCACTTCTGGACTTTGGCCTATTTGTATACAGACAGTTGGTAGCTTCTAGACTTTGGCTTATTTGTATACAGACAGTTGGTGGCTTCTGGACTTTGGCTTATTTGTATACAGACATTTGGTGGCTTCTGGACTTTGGCCTATTTGTATACAGACAGTTGGTGGCTTCTGGACTTTGGCCTATTTGTATACAGACAGTTGGTGGCTTCTGGACTTTGGCTTATTTGTATACAGACAGTTGGTGGCTTCTGGACTTTGGCTTATTTGTATACAGACAGTTGGTGGCTTCTGGACTTTGGCTTATTTGTATACAGACAGTTGGTGGCTTCTGGACTTTGGCCTATTTGTATACAGACAGTTGGTGGCTTCTGGACTTTGGCTTATTTGTATACAGACAGTTGGTGGCTTCTGGACTTTGGCTTATTTGTATACAGACAGTTGGGGGCTTCTGGACTTTGGCTTATTTGTATACAGACAGTTGGTGGCTTCTGGACTTTGGCCTATTTGTATACAGACAGTTGGTGGCTTCTGGACTTTGGCTTATTTGTATACAGACAGTTGGTGGCTTCTGGACTTTGGCTTATTTGTATACAGACAGTTGGTGGCTTCTGGACTTTGGCTTATTTGTATACAGACAGTTAGTGGCTTCTGGACGTTGGCCTATTTGTATACAGACAGTTGGTGGCTTCTGGACGTTGGCTTATTTGTATACAGACAGTTGGTGGCTTCTGGACTTTGGCCTATTTGTATACAGACAGTTGGTGACTTCTGGACTTTGGCTCATTTGTATACAGGCAATTGGTGGCTTCTGAACGTTGACCTATTTGTATACAGACAGTTGGTTGCTTCTGGACTTTGGCCTATTTGTATACAGACAGTTAGTGGCTTTTGGACGTTGGCCTATTTGTATACAGACAATTGGTGGCTTCTGGACGTTGGCCTATTTGTATACAGACAGTTGGTGGCTTCTGGACTTTGGCTTATTTGTATACAGACAGTTGGTTCCTTCCGTCTCAGGTGGACGCACTCCGACTTTGAACGAAATCCCCACACTCAGTCGCCTTTTACCATCTGCTTTTTAAAGGTGGCTGTGGGTCTATTTCCCCACCCCACTTCTGTCCAAATGAAGTCCTAGAACCCACCCAGGAATTTATATAGGAAATATAACATTTGGATGGATATCTATAAAGTGTAGAGAAGTAAATGCCATAATCACCTGGTAAACGTCTTGTTGGTGATGCTGATGACAAACATCCTGATGACAAAGATGCTGATGACAAAGATGCTGATGACAAAAATGCTGATGACAAAGATGCTGATGACAAAGATGTTGATGAATGAGTAAAAGACAAAGTAAGCAACGGTACCTTCACACAGTTGTAATCCATTTCGTGTGACATTTGAAAACCCAGCTGGGCAAGTATTTCCTTTGATACAAGTGTACCGACCTTCAGTGCTGCAAGGAAGACAATTTCTAGTATCAAAGTCGCCTCAAATAATGACTGTAAAAGTATTAGATTACAGCAGCCCTGTTATTGTCTTGTAACCTGACAATATTGCTTTTGAAGCAAGTTGCGTATCGCTTACAGAACGTTGTGGAACCAACTCCAGCATTGTTGTGGTTTTTTTAGGCAAATTCACGATCAGTATTTTGCCATTGCTTACTGAACGGTCTGCTCTCGGTACTACTGTCGAAACTTACACAAGACAAATCGTTTAGAGCTGGGATCGAACCCAGCATCCGGTATTACGAATCTCGTTCGCAACGCCTAAACAACAGTATCCGAAATTGCTGTTAAGAATGTCTCTGTCTCTCTCTCTCTCTTTCTCTCTCTGTCTCTCTCTCTGTCTCTCTCTCTTTCTCTCTCTGTCTCTCTCTCTCTTTCTCTCTCTGTCTCTCTGTCTCTCTCTGTCTCTCTCTGTCTCTCTCTCATTCTCTCTGTCTCTCTCTCTCTGTCTCTCTCTTTCTCTCTCTATGTCCCTCTCTCTCTCTCTCTCGTTTCTACAAAGAAATACTGATGCATATAAGAGAATAATAAACTATTTGACAAAGTAAGAATACGGCGTCAGACAAGGATAACCTACATATCAATAGACCCGGGTATCTGTAGACCCATATAACTGTAGGTGCTGGTCACTTTGTCGGCAGATCGCCGGTAGTTTGGGTTGGAAGTGGGCAGGTAGCCATCTTCACAAATGACGCAACCGGAGCACCCAACAACAGCCCGGGCGTAGACTTGATGCTTACAGTGCCAGCCGTCGCGGGGCTGGGGACACAGGACTAGAAGAGAACCATCAAAAGACATTGTTAACTACATCGAACAAAACAGTGAGTTAACTACATCGGACAAAACAGTGAGTTAACTACATCGGACAAAACAGTGACTTAACTACATTCTCACAAAACAGTGAGTTAACTACATTCTCACAAAACAGTGAGTTAACTACATTCTCACAAAACAGTGAGTTAACTACATTCTCACAAAAAAGTGAGTTAACTACATTCTCACAAAACAGTGAGTTAACTTCATAGGAAAAAACAGTGAGTTAACTACATTCTCACAAAACAGTGAGTTAACTGCATCGGACAAAACAGTGAGTTAACCACATCGGAAAAAACAGTGAGTTAACTACATTCTCACAAAACAGTATGTTAACTACATTCTCACAAAACAGTGAGTTAACTACATCGGACAAAACAGTGAGTTAACTACATTCTCACAAAACAGTATGTTAACTACATTCTCACAAAACAGTGAGTTAACTACCTTCTCACAAAACAGTGAGTTAACTACATAGGACGAAATAGTGAGTTAACTACATTCTCACAAAACAGTGAGGTAACTACATCGGACAAAACAGTGAGTTAACTACATTCTCACAAAACAGTGAGTTAACTACATTCTTAGAAACAGTGAGTTAACTACATCGGACAAAACAGTGAGTTAACTACATTCTCACAAAACAGTGAGTTAACTACATTCTTAGAAACAGTGATTTAACTACATCGGACAAAACAGTGAGTTAACTACATCGGACAAAACAGTGAGTTAACTACATCGGACAAAACAGTGACATAACTACATTCTCACAAAACAGTGAGTTAACTACATTCTCACAAAACAGTGAGTTAACTACATTCTCACAAAACAGTGAGTTAACTTCATAGGAAAAAACAGTGAGTTAACTAAATTCTCACAAAACAGTGAAAAAACAGTGAGTTAACTACATGCAGTGAGTTTAACTATCGGACAAAAAAACAGTGAGTTAACCACATCGGAAAAAAACAGTGAGTTAACTACATTCTCACAAAACAGTGAGTTAACTACATTCTCACAAAAACAGTGTGAGTTAACTACATGAGGTCTTCATACAAAAACAGTGAGTTAACTACATCAGACAAAACAGTGAGTTAACTACATCGGACAAAACAGTGAGTTAACTACATTCTCACAAAAAAGTGAGTTAACTACATTCTCACAAAACAGTGAGTTAACTACATTCTCACAAAACAGTGAGTTAACTACATCACAAAACAGTAGGAAAAAACAGTGAGTTAACTACATTCGGAAAAACAGTACATTCTCACAAAACAGTGAGTTAACTGGAAAAATACATCGGACAAAAACAGTGAGTTAACTACATCGGAAAAAACAGTGAGTTAACTACATTCTCACAAAACAGTGAGTTAACTACATTCTCACAAAACAGTGAGTTAACTACATCGGACAAAACAGGGAGTTAACTACATTCTCACAAAACAGTAACTACATTCTACATTCTCACAAAACAGTGAGTTAACTACATTCTCACAAAAACAGTGAGTTAACTACATTCTCACAAAACAGTGAGTTAACTACATGAGTTAACAACAAACAGTGAGTTAACTACATTCTCACAAATCAGTGAGTAAACTCACAAAACAGTGAGTTAACTACATTCTCACAAAACAGTGAGTTAACTACATTCTCACAAAACAGTACGTTAACTACATTCTCACAAAAACAGTGAGTTAACTACATTCTAACACAAAAAACAGTGAGTTAACTACATTCTCACAAAACAGTGAGTTAACTACATGCTCACAAATCAGTACGTTAACTACATCTCACAAAACAGTGAGTTAACTACATTCTCACAAAACAGTGAGTTAACTACATCGGACAAAACAGTACGTTAACTACATTCTCACAAAACAGTGAGTTAACTACATCGGACAAAACAGTGAGTTAACTACATTCTCACAAAACAGTGAGTTAACTACATTCTCACAAAACACAGTGAGTTAACTACATTCTCACAAAACAGTGAGTTAACTACATTCTCACAAAAACAGTGAGTTAACTAATTCTCATTCTCACAAAAGTGAGAGTTAACTACATTCTCACAAAACAGTGAGTTAACTACATTCTCACAAAACAGTACGTTAACTACATTCTCACAAAACAGTGAGTTAAACTACATTCTCACAAAACAGTGAGTTAACTACATTCTCACAAAAACAGTGAGTTAACTACATTCTCACAAAACAGTGAGTTAACACATTCTCACATAAACAGTGAGTTAACTACATCGGACAAAACAGTGAGTTAACTACATTCTCACAAAACAGTGAGTTTAACTACATTCTCACAAAACAGTACGTTAACTACATTCTCACAAAACAGTGAGTTAACTACATTCTCACAAAACAGTGAGTTAACTACATTCTCACAAAACAGTACGTTAACTACATTCTCACAAAACAGTGAGTTAACTACATTCTCACAAAAAACAGTGAGTTAACTACATTCTCACAAAACAGTGAGTTAACATACATTTAAACTACATCGGACAAAACAGTACGTTAACTACATTCTCACAAAACAGTGAGTTAACTACATCGGACAAAACAGTACGTTAACTACATTCTCACAAAACAGTGAGTTAACTACATCGGACAAAACAGTACGTTAACTACATTCTCACAAAACAGTAGGTTAACTACATTCTCACAAAACAATGAGTTAACTACATCGGACAAAACAGTATGTTAATTACATTCTCACAAAACAGTACGTTAACTACATTCTCACAAAACAGTGAGTTAACTACATTCTCACAAATCAGTACGTTAACTACATTCTCACAAATCAGTACGTTAACTACATTCTCAAAAAACAGTGAGTTAACTACATCGGACAAAACAGTACGTTTACTACATTCTCACAAAACAGTACGCTAACTACATTCTCACAAAACAGTGAGTTAGCTACATTCTCACAAAACAGTACTTTAACTACATTTTCACAAATCAGAACGTTAACTACATTCTCACAAAACAGTAAGTTAACTACATTCTCACAAAACAGTGAGTTAACTACATGCTCACAAATCAGTACGTTAACTACATTCTCACAAAAACAGTGAGTTAACTACATTCTCACAAAAGAGTGAGTTAACTACATTCTCACAAAACAGTGAGTTAACTACATTCTCACAAAACAGTGAGTTAACTACATTCTCACAAAACAGTGAGTTAACTACATTCTCACAAATCATTACGTTAACTACATTCTCACAAAACAGTGAGTTAACTACATTCTCACAAAACAGTGAGTTGAGAACATTCTCACAAAACAGTACCTTAACTACATTCTCACAAAACAGTGAGTTAACTACATTCTCCAAAAGAGTGAGTTAACTACATTCTCACAAAACAGTACGTTAACTACATTCTCACAAAACAGTGAGTTAACTACATTCTCACAAAACAGTGAGTTAACTACATTCTCACAAATCAGTACGTTAACTACATTCTCACAAAACAGTGAGTTAACTACATTCTCACAAAACAGTGAGTTAACTACATCGGACAAAACAGTGAGTTAACTACATTCTCACATAACAGTGAGTTAACTACATCGGACAAAACAGTGAGTTAACTACATTCTCACAAAACAGTGAGTTGAGTACATTCTCACAAAACAGTACGTTAACTACATTCTCACAAAACAGTGAGTTAACTACATTCTCCAAAAGAGTGAGTTAACTACATTCTCACAAAACAGTACGTTAACTACATTCTCACAAAACAGTGAGTTAACTACATTCTCACAAAACAGTGAGTTAACTACATTCTCACAAATCAGTACGTTAACTACATTCTCACAAAACAGTGAGTTAACTACATTCTCACAAAACAGTGAGTTAACTACATCGGACAAAACAGTGAGTTAACTACATTCTCACATAACACAGTGAGTTAACTACATCGGACAAAACAGTGAGTTTAACTACATTCTCACAAAACAGTGAGTTGAGTACATTCTCACAAAACAGTACGTTAACTACATTCTCACAAAACAGTGAGTTAACTACATTCTCACAAAACAGTGAGTTAACTACATTCTCACAAAACAGTACGTTAACTACATTCTCACAAAACAGTGAGTTAACTACATTCTCACAAAACAGTGAGTTAACTACATTCTCACAAAACAGTGAGTTAACTACATCGGACAAAACAGTACGTTAACTACATTCTCACAAAACAGTGAGTTAACTACATCGGACAAAACAGTACGTTAACAACATTCTCACAAAACAGTGAGTTATCTACATTCTCACAAAACAGTGAGTTAACAACATTCTCACAAAACAGTATGTTAACTACATTCTCACAAAACAGTATGTTAACTACATTCTCACAAAACAGTATGTTAACTACATTCTCACAAAACAGTGAGTTAACTACATCGGACAAAACAGTACGTTAACTACATTCTCACAAAACAGTAGGTTAACTACATTCTCACAAAACAATGAGTTAACTACATCGGACAAAACAGTATGTTAATTACATTCTCACAAAACAGTACGTTAACTACATTCTCACAAAACAGTGAGTTAACTACATTCTCACAAAACAGTGAGTTAACTACATTCTCACAAATCAGTACGTTAACTACATTCTCACAAAACATTGAGTTAACTTCATTCTCACAAAACAGTGAATTAACTACATTCTCACAAAACAGTGAGTTAACTACATTCTCACAAAACAGTGAGTTAACTACATCGGACAAAACAGTAAGTTAACTACATTCTCACAAAACAGTGAGTTAACTACATTCTCACAAAACAGTACGTTAACTACATTCTCACAAAACAGTACGTTAACTACATTCTCACAAAACAGTGAGTTAACTACATCGGACAAAACAGTGAGTTAACTACATTCTCACAAAAACAGTGAGTTAACTACATTCTCACAAAACAGTGAGTTAACTACATTCTCACATAACAGTGAGTTAACTACATCGGACAAAACAGTGAGTTAACTACATTCTCACAAAACAGTGAGTTGAGAACATTCTCACAAAACAGTACCTTAACTACATTCTCACAAAACAGTGAGTTAACTACATTCTCCAAAAGAGTGAGTTAACTACATTCTCACAAAACAGTACGTTAACTACATTCTCACAAAACAGTGAGTTAACTACATTCTCACAAAACAGTGAGTTAACTACATTCTCACAAATCAGTACGTTAACTACATTCTCACAAAACAGTGAGTTAACTACATTCTCACAAAACAGTGAGTTAACTACATCGGACAAAACAGTGAGTTAACTACATTCTCACATAACAGTGAGTTAACTACATCGGACAAAACAGTGAGTTAACTACATTCTCACAAAACAGTGAGTTGAGTACATTCTCACAAAACAGTACGTTAACTACATTCTCACAAAACAGTGAGTTAACTACATTCTCACAAAACAGTGAGTTAACTACATTCTCACAAAACAGTACGTTAACTACATTCTCACAAAACAGTGAGTTAACTACATTCTCACAAAACAGTGAGTTAACTACATTCTCACAAAACAGTGAGTTAACTACATCGGACAAAACAGTACGTTAACTACATTCTCACAAAACAGTGAGTTAACTACATCGGACAAAACAGTACGTTAACTACATTCTCACAAAAATGTGAGTTATCTACACACAAAACAGTGAGTTAACAACATTCTCACAAAACAGTATGTTAACTACATTCTCACAAAACAGTATGTTAACTACATTCTCACAAAACAGTATGTTAACTACATTCTCACAAAACAGTGAGTTAACTACATCGGACAAAACAGTACGTTAACTACATTCTCACAAAACAGTAGGTTAACTACATTCTCACAAAACAATGAGTTAACTACATCGGACAAAACAGTATGTTAATTACATTCTCACAAAACAGTACGTTAACTACATTCTCACAAAACAGTGAGTTAACTACATTCTCACAAAACAGTGAGTTAACTACATTCTCACAAATCAGTACGTTAACTACATTCTCACAAAACATTGAGTTAACTTCATTCTCACAAAACAGTAAGTTAACTACATTCTCACAAAACAGTGAGTTAACTACATTCTCACAAAACAGTACGTTAACTACATTCTCACAAAACAGTACGTTAACTACATTCTCACAAAACAGTGAGTTAACTACATCGGACAAAACAGTGAGTTAACTACATTCTCACAAAAACAGTGAGTTAACTACATTCTCACAAAAACAGTGAGTTAACTACATTCTCACAAAAACAGTGAGTTAACTACATTCTCACAAAAACAGTGAGTTAACCTGCCTATAACAGACGGCTCTCTTGGTTTTAGACAGGGATGCCCAGAAAACGTGTAAGGTGGAAATTAGTGGGGTGAGATGCAGAGGAGTTGGGAGCTGAAGCCTGGCTTCCGACCTTTTTTTTCTGCAATATTTTCTCCCTCACATCGCACGTGGATCTGATGCGCCCCTGTTGTCATCACTGAGAGGCTCGCAAAAAACAAAACTATATGTTTTCAAGCTAAAATTTAACGCGAAGAAGAAGAAGAGTGCTGATAACGATTATCGCAAATGCCATGATACTAAACAAGTAACCTTCTCGCTGATTTTCCTGTCTCACGTACTACACAACCTTTCTGTTTGTTCCTACGATTTACTTCAGTTTTTCACATCTAACAGCGAGGCACGAGGATGTGCGATATCTACTTCTGATGTGGATAATCGATTTTATTCGTCAGTTAATTTCTTCCAAGATATCTTCGATAATATTTTTTTTCTTTCTGTCCAGGGTATTCTAATTAGGAAGCAAGAGAGATGTGGTTTCTGAGACGAATGTTACGAATACCTTGTACAGCCAGAGTAACTAACAACGATTGCTTGAAAAAAGGCTAATGAAAGTAGACCTCATATATACCAACAACAAAAAAAGACAGTTTTCTTTGGCCACATAATAAGAAGAGAGACATGTGGAGAACATCGTGACAACTGTAAAGATCAGGGGGGAAAAGGAGTAGAGGCAGACTAAGAGAGAAGATGCTGGATGGGCTGAAACGATGGCATGGAGGGATATCATCAAGAGACTTGTTCCAGTCAACCAGTGATCTGTGGAGACGCATGAGCGCCTACGCCAGTTGGCAGGGCACATGAGGAGGAGGAGAGTGTTCTACATATTCTCCTAGAAACAGAATATCTCAGAAGCTAGCTTTAAAATATTTGACCCAGAAAACAGAGAATTACATTCCAGAGAAAAGATTAGATCCAAACAAGATTTACTGTTTTCAGGCGATCAAACACTGCTCTACAGTGACGGTAATAGACTCAAGACCATTTGAGCAAGATACGTTAAACAAGTAGAAAATACAAATTCAAATATTGTGTCAGAGGTAGCCCTATTAGGGTATTGATTGATGATATTAAAAACCTACTACCTCGACACGGACTGGCAATAACCATTGCAGCCCATCAAGTAATGGATCGCAAACTGTTCCTCCTCCCGCCGGTTAATTGTAAAAGTGGAAACTGATGATGATGCTTATAAGTCTTCTTCTTCTTCTTCGATTCTTCTGTCAGAAAATTTATATCAGAAGGCCGCTAGCCCTTATGAAAGCTCTCGTGCAATCCATATCCTCTCGTGTACCATACAGTTTTGTTCTAATTGTAGCTGAAACAGGCCAGATTGCGTCTCTGTTGTCAGCATACAGTTGACAGTGTTGGAGCATATGTCTCCGTATTTCCTACACCGAAAAATTTGAACATATGTTGACGAAATGATTATAAGTGATATATATATCATTATATATATATATATATATATATATATATATATATATATATATATATATATATATATATATATATATATATATATATATATATATATAAAGCGCCCCCAATTTACATACACTGCAGTTCTAAACAATTAGTAGCATTTCCCAAACAGAAAATTGTAAACCACACAATTTAAACTTTAATGGCTATTTGTGCTTTTAATAGGCAATGTTACGCTCAGTAGTTTGCCATGTCCTGAAACATACTACCGATGTACATGAAAGCATACTATCAATGAAGCTGAAACATCACTATCTATGAACATGAAACCATACTATCTGTGAACCCAAAACCACACTGTTTATGAATCTGAAACATTTCCATCCATAAAGTTTTAAGTTTTCATTCATGAACCTGAAAAGTACCATGAACGTCAAAGCTATTATCCACGAACCCAAAAAATTACAATCAGCATGAACCGGTACCTTACTATCTGTGATAGGGGGCTGCCTGGTCTCGAGGCATGGTGTCCGCTTCGAGTGCTAGATGTTCCGACTTCAATCCCCGGTAATCACGTGGAATTGGACTTCAAGTGATTCCACCTTGTCTCTGGGTAGTGAGATCGGACGCCCGTGTGCATTGTTTCGCACGTACAAAATCCCTTCCCAGTTGAAATCTAAAAGAGTAGCCTAACGGGGCTGCCCGGGAAAAATTTGGAGTTAAAAATCTACCCAAAGTATTTCAGGAGCCTCGCCGGTGCTACAGAGCATGTGCACTGTGCTGAGCTTCTTCGGACTCAGACTTGATTTGGAAGAAGAACGGAGCACTTATTGGCTACACTCGTGTGCCATGATGTTGATCCGTTGTTTAACTTTGAACTTCTAATTGCAGAAAGTTGTCTGTTCCCTAGCGAGCTAGTATTAAATATGAGCTATCTTATGTCAAAAAGACATATCTGAGATCACTGCACAGTCGACGCTCTGTATGACTGTCGAAATCAGCTGGCTCGAAAATGGTATTTCAGAATTACAAACCGCATTTGCGGCAACTAAGCAACGGGTATTTTACGTAAATTCTTCCTCTGCTTCTTCATGTTCACCGGCTGTAAACTTCAGCGGAAAGTTCTGGTTGTTCGTCCAGTTCTGAACTTTGGTCTGCACAGTAGGCATATTTTATATCCCACCCCCCCCCCCCCCCACCTAATAGTGTCCCAGAACCAAGACCGTCAGCATCTGACGGGTCAAGCTGCTGACGTCACTAAACCGGGCTAACGATACGCGTCAGATGCAGAAGGTCTTGCTGGAATCCACACGGGATCTACTGAGACTCAGGAAATCTAAACGTACCTCCAGAATTGGTACACGTGGAAGCGCTGACACTGGTTCCGGTGTTGTGGGTAACCCAGTAACCCAGGACACAGTTGTCACAGTTGTCGTAACTTTGGCACGTCATGCATCCCTCACCACAGTCTGTAGGGGAATTATTGATATATCGTTAGACATTTTCTTATGCTTGTGACCACATCATCCATATCTATAAAATATAGGTCTAGTCCGTATGAACATCACGCATAAAAACATGGAAAGAGGTTATTTGCTTTACTTGCCCGGCTGTCTAGCGTAGTTGGCTAAACCGGATTGCGCGGAGACCGGGTGACGAACTCCTTGTGGTCCGGGTTCAATCCCAGGGGTAGGCAGGAAAGCCACCTTTCTCCCAGATTTACGGTATTTACAATGAAATCAAGGCAAAAAAGGTTGCGATATCATTAATACCGAGCCTAAGGGTTCACAACTCATGGCTTCAGGATACTAAAACAAACAACAAACATTTGCTTTTACATTAGAGTACACGGAGAGCGCACAAACGAAACAATATTTTATAATGATCGACCTACATGCGCAGGAATCAAAGGACCCAATTTTTGACAAGAAGTAACCAAACGGACAGGTAGTTCCGGCAAAACAGAGCCATTGCGGTTCAGATCTGCAGAAACGATAGGTCAATAATATCGTCAATAAATACGGTGAAATATGCAGGCACGAGGATATGATGATGATGAATGAGGTTGATTAAAAGCGTTGGGGATGAACAATAATAATGTTGGCACTGAATGATAATGATGTCGATGATAAATGATGACAATGGAATAGCGACTATTCATAATGATGATAATAAATGGTGATCATAGTAAATGATGATGATGAGGAGGAGGATGAGGAGAAGGAAGATGATGATGATGATGATGATGATAAATGGTGATGATACTGAATGATGATGAGAAGTAGAAAGATGACAATGATGATAAATGGTGATGATACTGAATGATGATGAGAAGTAGAAAGATGATAATGATGATAAATGGTGATGATACTGAATGATGATGAAGAGGAGGATGAGGACAATGAAAATGTCTATTATGAATAATGACGATGATAAATGGTGATGATACTGAATGATGATGAAGAGTAGGAGGAAGATGATGCTAAGTTTTTTAGCAACGATTTGAATGGTTTCCAGGTGTAGGCGTTGATGATGGTGCTAATGATGATGATGGTGGTTATCTATTTAATAATTATCATCGCATATATTTGTGAAACCTTATTAAAGTTACCAGACAAGATATCTCACACGTTTTTAGACCGCGGTATAGCCAATCCTTCGTACGTGTAGGAGCCGTCTGTGCCATTCCCACTGACGAAATATCTGGGGTTGGCGGTCATGATGTAACCGGGTTGACAGCCAGTCTGACAACCAAGACAACCCAAGTTCTCGAACACCATGTTGTAAGTCTCGTTCAAGCAGTGACTGGCCGGGTTGGGACAGTTAACTGTGGATAGTGGTAAGACATCGTTGTTGTTGTAACAACAAACAAAAAGCATTCACTGCACAGTCTGTGGCGACAGCACTAGCCACGTGGCTCTAAATCCTCAGGCTCGAACAACCACCTGACTACACCGCGGTAGTGGTGATTCAGTCAGTCAGGAGCCTGTCTTTGCAGAACCTTGCTCTCATAACCACCTTCCGGAAAACTTCTCGATCACAAGCAAGATGTTCTACGTCTGATACACCCATCTGGAGATCATCCGCCACATCCTGCACACAATGCGCAGTAATTAGCAGTTTTGGGTAGTACTTGTTGTTTGTTGTAGTCAGCAAAGGATCCTGAGATCCCATCCACCCCCACTCCACCATACACATTTTCTAGGCAAAGAGTCTCGGTTTGGAGTGGAAAGGGTGGGTTGACTGGAGGGCTCCATAGTGCTTAATCTTCTTGTAAAAAAAAGTGTCACCCTTTTTGAATTAATCCCATTTTATGTTCCTCATTACCCTCAGACAGTGGTTTTCAAATACTTACTTCATCCGTGACCGTCATACATGCACCACACACCCCTTGACTTGTGTGTTTACCGGAATGGCATCCTGTGCTGTAAATTTCTATAGCAGATAATATTTTTACAGGGTGGGAGTCAGCCTCACGCTGCAAGTTTCTGTAGCATATAATATTTTTACAGGGTGGGAGAGTCAGCTCCATGCACAGTCCTCCTCCTTTCTCACGCGGGCTTGGGACCGGCAATGGTAGAGATACTTACTGTAATGCAAGTTGTTTAAACCCGTTTCTTCGGCTGCAGTGTAGGAATCTGTAAACCAGTGTGTTCTGTTGTGATAAAATATCTCACTCCATTAACAGTACTGTTGTAATGGATCATAACAGTCAAAAATACGTATTCGCTATTAAACGCCATTGGATGTTAACATTAAAACCAGCGTATGGTGTTTATAACCTTTATCATTAACGAGTTTTTACTATTGCTTGCTCAAGATTCAGTGTGTTGTCAGTTTGCCGGATTGAAACTTTAGGATGGTGTTCTTTGTTTTTTGTTCTACTGCTTTTTCTAAAAAGTGTCGCAGAGAGGGTCGTATGTAGTTCCTCTTTTTGCTAGTTGCGTAGCTTATTTTAGTGTCATAGTTTTTTCACTTGTGTCTCTTTTACTCCCTCCACCTATATCTTTCTTGATTAACCTCCTGGCTTGTAGCCTGTGTTCACTTGTAGTACGATGTTGCTGCTGGCTGATTTTGATCCATTCTGATATATATATATATAATGTCTTTGCATTGGAACCCACAGGGGCATAGGAATAAAGGAAGGCCAAAAAACACATGGAGAAGAGAGCTGGAGAATGAGGTTAGAAAGATTGGGTGGACATGGGGAGAGCTTCATGCACTGGCGAAGGATAGAACGACTTGGCGTGAGTTGGTTGAGGGCCTATGCTCCATTGGGGGATAGAAAGGCAGAAGAAGATATATATATATATATATATATTGGTGCGTGTCGCTTTCTAAATAAAATCCTAACATGCACAGTCCGTGGCGACAGCACTTGCCATGCTGCCCTAAATCCTCAGACTCAAAGCCCACAACCCGCTTCCTGCTAACATTTCACATGTGGTAAATACAGGAGGTAATGGCAATAGTCGTCTGTAGCTTCCTCTCTCTTTGTCTGTGTGTGTGTGGGTCTCTCTCTCTCTCTCTCTCTCTCTCTCTCTCTCTCTCTCTCTCTCTGTCTGTCTGTCTCTGTCTGTCTCTCTCTGTCCTTCTGTCTCTCTTTTTTCTGTCTCTCTTTCACTATGTCTTTCTGTTTGTTTGTTTTTATACAATGTATCAACATCATGGCACAAGGGTGGTACACATAAATGCTCCGTTCTACTTCTAACTCAAGCCTGAGTCTGAAGAATCTCAGCGCAGTGCACCAACTCCTTAGCCCAGACGTGCATCCTGAAATACTTTAAGCAGATTTTGTACTCCAAATTTTGCTAGGCAGCGCCGTTAGGCTACTTTTTTCGATTTTCAACTGCCAATGTTTTTTTTAATTGCGCAACAATACACACGGGCGTCTGACCGTACTACCCAGAGACCAGGGGAAACTACTAGAAGTCCACGGGAAAAAATCTTAGCCTTCACCGGGGCCTGAGCCTGGGACCTCAAGCACGCGAAGTGGATGATATGCTTCGAGACCACTCAGCCCACCCCCCCCCCCCAACCCCCCCCCCAACCCCACTCCCTGTAGTGTGTGTGTGAGTGTGTGTGTGTTACTGTGGTGTATATAAAAACTACATTGTTCCTTACCTTTTCGGTCGTCCAACAAAAAGGAGGAAGTAATAGGTATACAACAAAATAACACTATATAGATCCCTACAAAATAGGACTGGATCTCTGAAGCCATCACTGTAGTCCACTTTCACACACACACACAAGCTCACAGATCCTAAAGCCAGCTGGTTGATCGGACAGTTCCGAAATGCAATGTTGCCAGATGCAGTTTTCTTATCGCTGGTGGAGACCTGAGGCAGCTTTAACTCATCGTTGACATGTGCCAAAAGGTTAATGTAACCATTGGAACTGAAACTCTGGGGCTGCTACTGAAGATGAGAATGGGGCGCTTATGGGAATGTTCGCATGCAGTTTTGTGATGTCGGCATGTAACTCAGCTCTCTTTCTATCTCTCTCTCTCTCTATATATATATATATATATATATATATATATATATATATATATATATATTATATATATATATATAATATATATATATATATTAGAACAGCAGGTTACAAGTCAAGAGGCCGATCAAGAAAGACATGGTTGGAGGGAGTAATAGAGTCACCATAGAAATACGACATGAAATTAACACGACCTTTGTAACCACCAAACTATCTGTGGAGCTTAACAGGATAATCAGTAGAACACTTATAGTTAGCTGCGTATCGTTCAAAGGACGTTACAGAACCAACCGCAGAATTTATTTTTTTCGGCTGCTGTGGTTTTTCTAGGCAAATTTTACGTCCAGTAGTTTCCCATTGCTTTAATTAGTAGTACAACAGCAACAACAATAAAACAACCAGGAAACTACACCTAACTGCTCCCTTCGACGCTTCACGGAATAATCAGTAGCACAAAGAGATGATGAAGGTTCAGACTACTCTCACAAAGACTGATATGCAAAGTTTGAGTCTGTGTTTTGCCTGACGCGCTTTTCCGGGACAATCTCTTATTAATATAAATGCTCGTTTTTATCTATTATCTACCGTCTTTTTTAGGATGAAAATGTGCGTTGTTTGAAGCCCCACCCTGGCTCTTGCCAGGGGCCGCAATTTAGCCAGTCCATAAATATGGCCTAATGGCTGAACTGGTTACCAACAATGGTGACACAATGAAAGAAATTAAACGGCGACTATCAATTGCTCTTCAAAGACTAAAACAACTGAATAAATTATGGAATTGTACAGACAGAATTACAAAGGTCAGATTTTTAAGAGCATGCATCTTTCCCATTGCAACATACGCCTGTGAGACCTGGACACTTACTAAACAAGCGGAACAGCGCATAAATGCATTTGAATATAAATGTTACAGACAGGTTCTAAGAATATCTTGGGTAAAGAAAAGAACAAATGCATCCATACTTCAAGAGCTGAATATTGAAGAGGGTTGGCTAGTAAAGACAATAAAACAAAGAAAATTGAAATATTTTGGTCACTTGAAACGTCATGGAAGTCTAGAGAGAACAATAATGGAGGGGTTTATGCCTGGGAAGAGAGGAAGAGGAAGGCCAAGGAGAAGATGGGTGCAGGATGTGGCAGATGATCTCCAGATGGGTGTATCAGACGCAGGACATCTTGCTCATGATAGAAAGGTTTTCCGGAGGGTTGTTATGGCAGCGAGGTTCCGCGAGGGACATGCTACTGAATGAATGAATGGCTGAACGCGGTTTCTGGGACCTCTCCACGGTGAATCTCATCCACATGGTGGCACATTGTGTCATCGCTTTTGTGTGGTAGAAAGTCAGTCAGTCATGCTCGTTAAGAGTTAAGTATCTTGAACTAATCTCTCCCAACATATGGTTTACTTCAGGACTCTTATCTGCCTGTGTGGATGCAAAAGTTATATGTATGTATGTATGTATGTATGCATATATATATATATATATATATATATATATATATATATATATATATATATATATATATATATATATATATAAGACTGACTGTATAACTCAGAATTAGACCTAGCATTGAGTCGGTACGAGGTGCAGTCCTGAGAATTATAGGCGACCGGGCTGATGCTGATCACATCATCCACCAAGTGCCGACTGGTCTATAAAACATAGGTCTAGCCCTATATGCCCAATACGCCTGAAGGCCTGGAAAAGGGTCCTTTATTTAACTTCTGTTTACTTTACTTTTATTTACTTTTATCATCATCACGTGCCTTGCCAGTTGGCGTAGGTGCTCATGTCTCCCTGGTTGTCTGGAACAGCTCTCTTGATGATATCCCTCCCTACCATCGTTTCAGCCCATCCAGCATCATCTCTCTTGATGATATCCCTCCATGCCATCGTTTCAGCCTATCCAGCATCATCTCTCTTGGTCTGCCTCTACCTCTCTTTCCACTGATCTTTCCAGTTGTCACGATGTTTTACAATGCCTCTCTTCTCAATACGTGGCCAAAGAACAGTGTATGTCTCCTTCGTATTGTTGTATATAGAGATAAAATTTCATTAGCTTCTTTCAAACCATCGTTGTTATTTATTTTGGCCGTCCAAGGTATTTGTAACATTCGTCTCATAAATTAATTTACTTTAGTTTCTAATAAATGCTTTTATGAACTGGTAGTGTCTCGGACTGCAATATACTTGTACCCAGGGTATGACTGAGTCATGGGGTCATCAAGCACTCAGGTAGCAGCCAAGAGGGTCAAATAACCAGTCGGATGTGAAGAGTGAACATTCACCAAAGCAATCAGAGACACGTGTATGTTTTCAATATTAATGTACCCCTCCCCCACCAAAACATTAATTTGACGGATCTTTTTTTGGGTGGGGGGGCGGAGCTGGTTGGGGTGTAATTATTTTTGTTAACCGTCGGATATGGATTTTTTTTTTTTTGGGTGGGGGGCGGAGCTGGTTGGGGTGTAATTATTTTTGTTAACCGTCGGATAGGGATTTTTTTTTTTTTTTTCGTGACAGCGAAATAGTTCGGGACTCAAATTTATATGTTGCCAGCGGAAACAATTACTCTTGAAATCTCAACTGTAAAACCACATGCTCTTCAAACTATTTAACCCCTGCATTACTAAAGCGATGATATGTTGGAGACAACTGTAATGAGTGGGTTGAGAACACACAGTTAGACGATCTTGAACTTGTTGATGGTATTGTTCTGTTGAGTAAAAACAGCAATGACATTTTTAAAAAAAAAAGAAGATTGATTTAGTGCTCATAGCGTCTGAAGTTGGACTACAGGTAAGTTACGAAAAGATCAGTCTACTGAAGACATCTGATCAAGCATTTGTAACGCTTGGGTCATCATCATGTAGCAGGTCCTTTGCAGAACGTCGCTCTCATCACATTCTGCCAGAAAGAAACTCTGTCTCTCGCCAGTTCTCCTGCCTCATGTACTCAAGGAGTCACTTATATCCTGTGCCCATCTTCGTGTCGGTCGGCCCCTGCCCCTCCTTCCTGGTACCATACCTTCTGCTTTAGTTTTTCCCAATCCGTTGTGGCGCTTAATATGACCAAAATATTTTAGCTTTCGAGAAAGGATGCTGTTTATTAGCCAATCTTCCTTAAGATCTTTTAAGATATCAATATTTATCCTCTTCTTTGTCCAAGAAATTCTGAGAATCTTTCTATAGCATTTCAGCTCAAAAGCACCTATTCTCTTTCTTAAGGACTGACGCTTGGGTAAAAGGAATTAAACTAACAGATCAATTTACTTATTTAGGCAGTAATTTGATATCGCCAAGGAAATAGAAAGACAAAAATTATGACACGCACAGGCAAGACATCAGCACCGCGACGACAGGCTGACGAACTTCTTGTGGTCCGGGTTCACGCCCGGGGGGAGGCAGAAAAGCCACATTTCTCCAAGATTTACGGTATTTATCATGGAATCAAGGCCGAAGGGTTCCGACGATATCCATAGTACCGAGCCAAAGGGTTAAGAACTCATGGTTTCTAAATATTTTATAAAAAAAAAAGGGGGGGGGGGGGGTTAACAAAATATGGAATTCTAAATTATTTCGTTTAAAAATCAAGTTAAGTATTTTTCAGTTCTAACATTATATAAATTTAACTTATTTTATTAACTTTGGAGAACAAATTAAAGACATGAATTTAAAATTAAATGCATTTGAAAAAAAAAGGTCTGAGGAAAACATGTTGAACATAAAATGGAATGGAATGAACAGGGTTAAAGAAAGAAGAGAAGTCTGCAGTTTTAACAGCAGATCAACATCATGGCACACGGGTAGTAAGCCATAAGTGCTCTGTTCTTCTTCTAACTCAAGTCTGAGTTCAAAGAAATTCAGCACAGTGCACAGGCTCTGTAGCACCGGCGAGGAGCGTAAATACTTTAGGTAGATTTTTAACTCCAAATTTGCCCGGGCAGCGCTGTTAGGCCACTCTTTTCGATTTCCAACTGCTAAGGAATTCTCTACGTGCATAACGATGCATATGGGCCTCCGATCTCACTATCCAGAGACCAGGGAAAATTACTCTAAGTCTGTCCACGTGAAAAAATCCAAGCCCTTACCGGGGATTGAACCCGAAATCTCTAGCACTCGAGGCAGACACCATGCCTCGAGACCACACAGCCCCCTAGAAATAAGAGAAATATTTGAGTTACTACTGGTAACTGAGAGAAACATGTAGAGAATCCCCTTACTACATTGGAAATAAAGGCATTGAAAAGACAATTACATATAAATTAAACCCTAAAAGGAGTGTCGGTGAGAGGAGAAGCATGAAGTGCTGGACTGGATGCCATCCATGAAATGGAAGGGATTGCATGGATAGAACGGAATGGAAGAATAGACTGCGAGCTCTAAGTAAGATTTAAAATTACAAGAGAACAAGGATGATGATTGCAAAAACAACGATTCTTCTCATTCACTGACATATGATAACCAGAATTAACAGTCCACTTATCTGCAAAAATATAACATAACTCTTTATGTTTTGTAAACTAATTATCTGTTATTGCAATAATTTTATTTTCTCGCTAAATATGGTTATCCTTATTTTTCACTGACATGATCTAAATGTTAATTTGGATCCTTGTCGATGTTTGTTGAGCTGTCATGCTTTATACCGTGATCCTGTTACATGTCGTTTAGTTCATCAATATATCAGTTTACGTTAATCACAAGTACATGACACCAAATTTTAAAAAGTTGTTTTAAAAAACCCACAAGTTTTAAAAGATTGTCAGGAACAGTTCTCTTTGATCACGTTAGTCTTAGAAGGGATTTAGTTACCAATGTAATCATCGCTATTCTTTGTTGTGCAATATCCTGCTTTGATGTCAGTTGACAGTGATGTGTATTATCACCAGATTTGTTTTCATTGTACAGGGAAACTATAATGAGATCTGTCATGGATATGCCAGGAATTGTGGTTGGTGGCCACAACATAAACATAAAATCAGCGTTATTCTGATGACACCGTCTTGATAGCGGCAAGTAAAAAAAGAACTACATGAATTGATAGATACGGTGGAGGAGAAAAATGATAAAATTGGTCTCTGTTTGAATAATGGAAAGGCAGAAGCAAGGGTGATTTCCAAGAAAAGAATAGTGCTTACATGTATAATAGAAGTCGAAGGCGTTATTTTGGGACAAGTACAGACATTTAAATATATAGGCACATAGAAAATGTCTGATGGAATATGTATCACACAGATAAACATAATAGAATAAGACAAGCCAAAACTGCATTCTATAAAATGAAGAACATTTAATGCAACAAATCCATGTCATTGGAGGTTAGGAAAAGAATTCTCGCATGCTATATACAGCCAGTTTTAACATATGGCTGTGAATTCTGGACAATTTGGATTGGGTTACCCACAACCCAGTGGGGTCTTCGGGGGAAAAAAGTCTAACAATATCTTGAGACATGGGTGATGTGGTTTTACAGAAGAATCCTTAGAATTCCTTGGACAGCTAAAAAGAGCAACCCATATGTTTTGAAAAAGGTGAGTGCTCGTAGACAACTTATCACAAACTTCAGAAAGAGACCATCATAATATTTTGGTCATGTTATGTTAAGGCAGAAAATAGAAAAAACATTAGGATCAGTTTATAATTTAATTTTTTTTGTATATTAAGGACACCTAATTGAATGAATATCAACTGTTTAATATGCATTTAATTACAGATCAATTAACAGAGTAGCACTTTTATTAATAACAAATAATCATCAATATAATCAATGTTATAATCATCATCAACAACAGAGCTGCAAACTGCTTTGTCTGATGCGAATCCTGGTATCTTGCACACTTCAACAGGATGTAACAATCTGTCTGCTGACATCTTGCAAACTTCAACAGGATGTAATCATCTGTCTGCTGACATCTTGCACACTTCCATAAGATGTAACAACCTGCTGAAATCTTGCACACTTCAACAGGATGTAAGAATCTGTCTGCTGACATCTTGCACACTTCAACAGGATGTAACACTCTGTCTGTTGACACCTTGCATGCTTCAACAGAATGTAACAATCTGCTGACATCTTGCACACTTTAACAGGAAGTAACAATCTGTCTGCTGACATCTTGCACACTTTAACAGGAAGTAACAATCTGTCTGCTGACATCTTGCACACTTTAACAGGATGTAACAATTTGTCTGCTGACATTCTTCACTGGCAGGCTAAAGAATGCCAGGAATTGTCTTTCATTGTTGTCATCTGTGTCTTTTTTCCAAAGAAAGATCATTCTCATCGGTACAGGAATGTGTTGGTACATAAAATTATAACATGCTGTTGGAAACTGAGCTGTGCAGAAGAATTACGGCAAACAACAGCTGACATAGCTCTTGATGTTGATGACTATCCTGTCATTTCATAAAATAAACATTTATTTTTTACATAATCAAACACACAAGGCTACAATAAAAAATGACTATTTGAAATGTTGGTGCAAGGGCAAAAACTAGATTTACTACTGCAAATTTCATTCATCTAACTTTTAGGTTCAACTGCTAAAGCTGCAATTATATACCAGATTATTTTTTCTTTATTACTCCCTTTCATAACTATCAACAAAAGCCATCTTTACATTAAAGATCATCTGTAATGAATCTCTGACACCCTGTCGTGTGTCTCCACCCCCTTGTGTCTCCAGCACCTTGTGTCTCCACAACCTTGTGTCTCCATCACCTTGTGTCTCCATCACCTTGTGTCTCCACCACTAATTTTTCTGTCTCCACCACCTTGTGTCTCCACCACTAATTTTTCTGTCTCCACCACCTTGTGTCTCCACCACTAATTTTTCTGTCTCCACCCCCTTCTGTCTCCACCACCTTGTGTCTCCACCACTAATTTTTCTGTCTCCACCCCCTTGTGTCTCCACCACCTTGTGTCTCCACCACCTTGTGTCTCCACCACCTTATGTCTCCACCACTAATTTTTCTGTCTCCACCACCTTGTGTCTCCACCACTAATTTTTGTGTCTCCACCACCTTCTGTCTCCACCACCTTGTGTCTCCACCACTAATTTTTGTGTCTCCACCACTAATTTTTGTGTCTCCACCACCTTGTGTCTCCACCACTAATTTTTGTGTCTCCACCACTAATTTTTGTGTCTCCACCACCTTCTGTCTCCACCACCTTGTGTCTCCACCACCGTGTGTCTCCACCACTAATTCTTGTGTCTCCACCACCGTGTGTCTCCACAACCTTCTGTCTCCACCACCTTGTGTCTCCAGCACCTTGTGTCTCCAGCACCTTGTGTCTCCAGCACCTTGTGTCTCCAGCACCTTGTGTCTCCACAACCTTGTGTCTCCACAACCTTCTGTCTCCACCACCTTGTGTCTCCCCCCCCCCCTTGTGTCTCCAGCACCTTGTGTCTCCAGCACCTTGTGTCTCCACCACCTTGTGTCTCCAGCACCTTGTGTCTCCACAACCTTCTGTCTCCACCACCTTGTGTCTCCACCACTAATTTTTGTGTCTCCACCACTAATTTTTGTGTCTCCACCACCTTGTGTCTCCACCACCGTGTGTCTCCACCACTAATTCTTGTGTCTCCACCACCGTGTCTCCACAACCTTCTGTCTCCACCACCTTGTGTCTCCACCACCTTGTGTCTCCAGCACCTTGTGTCTCCAGCACCTTGTGTCTCCACAACCTTGTGTCTCCACAACCTTCTGTCTCCACCACCTTGTGTCTCCCCCCTCTCCCCTTGTGTCTCCAGCACCTTGTGTCTCCAGCACCTTGTGTCTCCACCACCTTGTGTCTCCAGCACCTTGTGTCTCCACAACCTTCTGTCTCCACCACCTTGTGTCTCCACCACTAATTCTTGTGTCTCCCTACTCTGTTTTCTGTCTCTAAGGTGCATTTATTCACGCTAGGTCCCCTCGACCCTTTTTCACTGTTGAAGTTGGTAGTGTTAACACCTCAATGATGAGAAAACTCGTTTAACCATATGGCACGGTTACAAGTGAGGCAGACAAATTACCTTGAAATCTGGTATTGGTGGGCCTGCTCAGACTTTGTGTAGCGGATATCTCAACACTCTCCACCTACATGTAACAGTATCTACTTCATGCTCTTGTTCGTTTGATCGTTCTCTGCCTAATAACAAACTATTGCTTCATTAGGAAATTCTTCAACTGTTTCCTGCTAAAAACATTTAGAGTTCCTGGTTTTATGAATAGACACCATAGCACTGTGCGCAAACTCTAAGGTGCTCTGTCTCTATCAGCAAATATCATAAGGTGCATTACACTGATCATTTCAGTAATATAAACAAAGATAAGTCCCCTTTCACACTAGTGGTACAAATAATGCTGTACTCACATTTTGGTATCATCATCATGCAGCAGTTCCTTTGCAGAACGTCGCTCTCATCCCGGTCTGCCTAAAAGAAACTTAGTCTCTCGCCAGTTCCCCTGCCTCATGAACTTTCATCCTCAAGGAGTCACTTATATCCTGTGCCCATCTTAGTGTTAGTCGGCCCCTGCCCCTCCTTCGTGGTACCATGCCTTCTGCTATAGCTTTTTCCAATCCGTTGTGGCGCTTGATATAACCACAATATTTCTGCTTCCAAGAAAGAATGCTGTTTATTAGCCAATCTTCCTTGATGTTCAGATTTTTCAAGATGTCAGAGGAGGAGGAAAAGAAGAAGAAGACATTAGCCTTGCTCCAGAATTTGAGTTTTTATTCGCATATCCTTTTTTTTTATAGATCTGGCTTATTTCTATGCAGACAATTGGTTCCTTGTCTTTCACTGCGACTTCAGAGTACACTCCCCTAAATAGTCAACTTTTGCAACATGCTCGCTACTGGAGCAGTGGGACTTTTCTGTTTTCCCCCATAACGGAGCACCTGAACTCACATAGAGACCTCACTCTTCAAAACTAGGACCTTACACTTTCGAATGTCAACTTTCAACAGTTATGTTTAATATTTTCTTTTGCATTTATGACTTCCAACTTGTGATCTCCTGCTCATACTTACTTATTTTACCCATCATTTTAACACATTCAACTATTTGAGTCTCTCACTAATATAAAAAACAAGTACACAGAACAAAAAATAGGGAACTATGTGGCATCGGTGGTCAAAGCTCAGAAACCCTCTATCGTTCCTTCTTTGAGTTCTGCAGATTTCTCTGGTCCCTCCAAACATGGGAAGTTCACTAAAATGAGAGATGTTATAATAGCATATTTCAAAGAAAGATTTCATCAGTATTGTTCTCTCTCTGTTTCTCTCACACTCACTCTTTCTCTCTCTCATACATACAAACACTTGCTTTCTCTCTGTTGTTTTCATTTATTTCTCTCATTTTCTCTTCCCCAGTGATGTAATGATGGAGTGCTAGTCTTACACATGCTGCTAGCTCCACGGCCGATTTTTGTTTGTTTGTTGGCTGACCCTGCCTTATTGTCCAGGAATCTTTCAATTGCTGTTCTTTCTTATTAACTGTTAAGTAAAGTTAAGTTAAGGACCCTTTTCACGTCTTCAGGCCTATTGGGTATATAGGGCTAGACCTATCTATATTTTATAGACCAAACTGCCCTTGGTGGGTGATGTGGTTAGCATCACACCGACCACCTTTACTTCCCAGCACTGTACATGGTACCCATTCAAGGCTGGGTTGACCTGGGAGCCAAAGTCATTTTTGAAAAAAAAAAGTCTGGCCCCTGTCAGGAACCAAACTCACGACCTTCCGATCCACAGGCAAGCGTCTAGCTGCTAGACCACTGTAGCTTCCCTCTTATTACCTATTGAGAAATTTAATATAGCCAATGTATTTAAGTGTTCAAGATATCATGCTAATTATGACCCAGTATTTTTCAATGTTCAGGTCTTGTACAGTCTCAATATTGTTTTTCTTGATCCACAGAAAAAAAAAAAATTCTGAAATGTTTACATTCAAAGACTTTGATTTGTCTACCTCAATCCCACTGTGTCATTTAAGGAAATGAGAGCAGATGAGCTGGCAAAAGCTGGGAGTAATCTTCCACAACCTCATCCACAACGCAGCTACAAGTAAACCAAAACAGCGCTATAGCAGTCTTTCAAGTGGGACTAGAGAAGGCAGAATGGAGATTACAGACCAGAGAGTGACAGCATTAAAAGACCAAACGTCAATTTTTGACTTCAAACAGGACACTATGATCTCAGAACACAACCTATACAGGATGGGCATACAAGAATTTGCTGCCTGTAATTGTGTAGCAGAAAGACAGACTCCTGAGCACATAGTGCAGGGCTGCCATAACTACTCTAAACAAATAGCGCGGATTGTGGACATCACAAGAGAAGTTTTCGGGGACCAGCAGCAACCTCATACACACGATCTTGTTTGTGACCAAGACTGGACTGAATGTTTAGCATCACTGATGTTGAATGCAGCAGAAGAAGAAGTCTTCACTAAGTTTTCTGTGGGAAATGTTTCATGATTCGCATCAGCATTTTCTTCCACATTTCATTGCTAATTCTCTAACATTCAAACCCAAACAGAAAAAAAAACCACATAAATGTTCGGTTAGCAGATTTTTTTAAACTTGTGATATCTTTTATAGCAAAAAATAATTGGTTAGGTTCACGTTAATCTCCCCAAATAGTGTAGGTTACTTTTCATTCACAAGTTTGTTGGGCTGGTCGACTTTCCTGAAGGTTATGGGTGTGTTCCTCTCTGCTGTTTGCTTTCTGTGACGTCTTGCATTTATGTTTTCATTTCGAGCAAGAGAATGACTGTGACATGGGTTGCAGCACTCTCTAGGGAAGTTGTGTTAGGACCAGTTTGTGCATGTTTTTGGAGTGCTAAAAGCACTGGTGTGATGAAATTTACAACATGCGATATCTGACCAACATTACTTTTATCAAATATTTTTCTTTTAACTCCACAAGAAAAAAAAAGTTACTTAAGTAGGCACAAAATATAAACAGATTTAGAAACTGACCAAAAAATGACATGGTAAAATAGTGATATGGTAATATGTAATTACAATAATGGTCACAAGTAGTAATGTAGGTGGTAATATGTTATAATATGAGAAATGTGGTAATATGGGGTATGTGGTAATAAATTGTAATATGGGGAATGTGGTTATATGTTGTAATATGAGGAACATCTAGAAGAAATAGCAAGAGATGGAAGATGATAGCAAGGCTCAGCTTTAGTAGACCATCATCATGAAGTTTAAAGTCACAAAAAGAGGAAGAATGAGATCTACACATCTCTAGGTATGTTCTGTTCCACTCACCGTTGTACATCTGACCCTGTTCTTTGCAGAAGTTACTGTATCCACCAGTGGAATAAAACTCAGCAAAAGCCACATTCCACCAAGAAGGGAGCTCACCACCTTTCCTGGTCATGATACTAGTGCCCACATTCTCGCAGTGGAAACGCTGGGGCAACCGCTGTAACCGTGGGATGTTGTCTTCCTTAGTAAACCATGCATCTGCCTGAAGACAGATGTCATTTGTTAGCTTGCTCTCAATTAATTACCCCCCCCCCCCCCCCCCCCCCCGTGTGGGTTTTGGGGCCCTATTATAGGGAAAACAAGAATAGACCCACTGCCTACCCAAAAGCATGTCATAAGAGTCGACTAATGGGGAGCTTTCTTCAAAGTCGGAGTGCATCTGCCTGAGAGGCAAGGAACCAACAGTCTGCACAAAAATGTGTCAATTCTGTCAAACGGATGCACAAGCAACACTCCGGTTCTGGAACAGGACTGCAGTCCAGATGTGGACGAACAACCAGAACTTTCCACCACAGTTTCCAGCTGTTGAACGCAAAGAAGAAGAAGAAGAATTAATGACCATTTTCAACAATCATTGGTTCAAGGGATAAAAACTGCAGTTATTAATGTCATCAACTGTATGCTCAATAATTTGTTGTTTTCACATACACAGATTTTGTTACTGACTGCATTAGACAGGAATGTAGTCATAATAAGTTCATCTACATAATAATGTTCAGCAAAAGAAAGGCACAGTTATCCAATGGCACTATATTACTGAAAAAAAAAAAGAACGGGCTGTCTGAGAGGAACACAATTTGGACACTGAAAATCTTTGTAACTTTACTCTTTTTTTTTTTACCAGAAGGTTTCACAGGAGATGACAAAGTGAAGAAGTAATCACAAAGGAAAAAAATAATGCTGTTAAAAAATTTAACAATTAAAAATTCCATTACTGAGTTCCATATTTAAAATAAATCTAGTGCTCTTGTGTTCAAATCATACAATTTTTTTTTTAATATTTCCACAGACAGTTGCTGAAGTTTATTTCAAGTTAGGTTGAGATAAAAGTCAACATCACAGCACCTGGGACATTCCCATAAGTACTCTGACCCCATCTTCAGTAGCCAGTGCAGATTTCCAATTCCGGTGGTAACAGCACAAGTCTACCTGTATGTCTATCTTGTCTGAGTGTTGAGTATCAGTTGGGTTCTATGGTCACTCCCACCTGTACCATTCTCTTCAGACCATGACTTGCTCCCTCACGGCCTTGACCACTTCTAGTTTGTTATGTATAAATTTACCATTAAACTGTGCTGTATCAGCCAATATGTCTGCATGCTCATTTCCCAACACAACTGAATTCCCTGAAGAAAATATCCCCAGACTTCTAAAGTTACTGATGGTTATGCTAAAACACAATCACTGATTCTCAAACTATGTCTTGATTAACACACAATAATTATGATCATTATTATAACGAAGATTTTTTCCCAAAAATGTCAGTCACATAACAACATAATGGAAATAATTTGGAATTTTCAGTAGTAATAAAAATTTAAACAGCAGAACTGCTATAATATGAATTTAATCTAAGCCTTCTATTAGCCTTTTATTGTGTTAAGAATAAGCTAGCATTTCACACATAAATTATTAAAAGAAATAGTAACGTACTGTTCCATTTAGCACCATTAGAATTGCCTCCTCTTCACCCTCTGTAACAATGAGCCTGTTAAACTTTTTGTGCAGTCTGTTTAAACAGTGGTTGTTGGTGATTGCTGTGATTTGGTAAACTGTAAGAAATAGTATATGCAAACACACAGATAAAAAAAAAAACATATCCTTTGAAGCACTGTCAGAAATAAAATCACAAAAATACAAATAAGCACAAATGGTAGTTTTCTTCAAACAGAACAATGTGAACTTCTTTTTCAGCATTCTAAGCTGGTGAGTTTCTGTGCTGCTGTTATCACCTGACTCCTTTCAACTCTCTAACTGACCTCTTTCCAGTTGGTGATTCCAGGTGTTTGTAGGTTTGTCTGTATATCATCTCTCCACAATTTTATTGGTCTGCCTTGTGGTCTGCTCCTACTCAGCCATTTTGAGTTCTCAGGTCTTGCTGTCTGTCTGTTTCTTTTCTCTTCTTCTTCTTCGTCTTTTTTTTTTAAATTCTGGTTTTTTTTTTTCCTATTTTTTTTTAATCTTTCTATTCTTTGTCATCATCTTTATTTTTATTTCCCTCTATTTTTTCCTCCATTTCCTCCTCTTCTTCCTTATTCAGTTTTTATTTTTAACTTATTCCTCTTCAATCATCTTCTTCAACATTTCTATCATTATTTTCTTCATCTTTTAATTTTAATTCTTGTCTTTATCTTCTTCATCTTTTCCCCTTGTTCTTCTTTGTCTCTCATTCCTCTGTGTTACTCATTCACTTCTTCTTAACTCTTAGAATATTTTCCTTTTCCACCACTTGCTTGAATACACCAAATGTCAGAACCTTGTGAGTGCAGTCATGTGGCCAAGTAGACCACACATTGGGTATACCGTTTTCAGGGTACACCCCAGAGTTGACACAAAGGTCAGTGGCGTGACTGGCCAAGTATGTGCTGTTTGCGATGGCGTAACTAGTGCTCAATAGAGACCACTTGAAGACTACAAGTAAGAGTGAACTCTTTTCCAACAAGTTCGCACCATGCTTGTTCCATGACCTTACTGAGCGGGTTAACTGGTCAAAAGGACAAGGAAGGAGAACACAGGGAATCGAGGTGCAGTGTTCGGACCGAGTGGATGTGTTAGCGAGACAGAGATAGAATGTTAGAGTTTGGATATAACTTGAGTGACTGTATAGATTATTTATAGTGTTCTGTTAGAATAGGATAGTCTTTTTGTGCTGCATATAATGTATTGTGTTGTTTCATAATAAGTAATTAGTGCCCATTTAATTCTGACCATTTAAAGCGGTTAAATACATGTTCTGTGAGATAATGTCTAGCTTTGTCACACTGACCCTGCGCCTGACAGAGGCTCTGACATCTTGGTAGGTCAGTGTGACGATAGGAAAGAACGTCCCCCGTACAGGTGTGGTTTGCACACCCGAGATTCCCTGTGGAACGAACTGGAGAGAGAGGCGATTGTAAAGCTTGTTCGGGCAGATTTCAATTAATTTGCAGAGAAGTATTATCCCAATAAAGCACAAACAAGCCATAATAGCAGTGTCTGAAAAAACATTGTTTGAAATGGCTTGACAATGTCTTCTTCTTCTGCTTCTTCTCTTCCTCCATTTACCTCAGCAAGGTTTTAGGAGAAGATGTTAGGATCGTTTGTGCACTTTTTTCCAATGCATTATACATGCTGGTGTTCATTTCTGTTAGGTTGCTCCTGATAATGTCACTCCATAACTTGCGTGGTCTTCCCCTTGCTCTGTGTTCATTATATGTCTTCAGACAATGTCACATGTCAGAGGGGCCGTGTTAGCTGCGACTCACTGCAGCGCACAGTCTGGGTTTGAAACCGGGCAGTTCCTGGCGTTCACCCAGCCTCTAGGAAATGGGTACCTGAGTTAACACTCTGGGGTAAATGGAAGAACATCACTGTAGCTAGGAATTTTTTTGCGGATTTCGACACAGGCGAACAGTTACTTATCAGCTGTCCGTACTAGTGGCAGAGCACTTATGGTTTATAACCGTGTGCAATGATGCTGGTTCACATCTCCCGACTTCACCTTTTTTTTTTTAATGTCACATTTGAGAAACGCCCTCAGGAGAGTGCAGATCAAAGTTCTTTGGATAGATTTTTAGTAAACGTCACACCTGAAAAGTCTCAAACAGCAAAAAGAGTCCAACAATTAAAAAAATAAATTAAAAAGGAAGAAACAACACAAGAATTTCAGATTTCTGAAGTAAAGGGAACTTTCCTTTCAAACAACAGTGCTTTCTTCTCCCTTCTCAGTACCAATAATTTAAGCACTCAGTTCTTCTCAGGAAGATAAAGTGAGGTTTCATTTTCATTTAATTCATCAAACTTTTTTCATATTTATGTTCTTTAGTATTAGGTAGTATTTTAAATGTTTGTATACAACCCAATCAGTGTTTAATGTGCCCGTAACAATACGATTTTTTAATGAAACAGATAAATCATTCTCCTGTTATTTCTGATGAGAAAATTTGTTTAGTATACATCCTATTTTGTATATGTCCTGTTTGGTATATGCCAAAGGATTAGCAATGTACATGTCAGTACCAAGAAACGCATGATGTGTCAGTATTCTTCCATTTGAATCCCAACTATCGCATAACATGTTCTCCAACATTTCAGTTTTTGGTCATAGTATTCTAAAGAAATATGACTGCCACAATGAATACTTCCAATGTGTGTTTAACGTTGTGAAACAAAATTTTTTCATAACTTTTCTGTAGTGATATTTTTGTTGCTTTAACAGCCGAGTATCTGCTTGAAAATCATATGGCACTGTAAGAGTTAAGTACATATCTGATAACAATGGGCCTGAAATTTATCTTAATGCTAGTAGGCTTTGCTAGTTGTACTCACCATCGCCATGGGCTTGGTTCCCATGCTTCCCTACAGCACAACATAACAATATCATACGGAGAAAGAGAAAGGTTCCATACACACACAAACACACATGATGAATTCCTAAACTTTGAATTAACGCAACAGGAAACTATAAACACAAACCAAGAGTGAATGAGGAGTAGTCATCCAGGTCTGGGTTGAATCCTGTAGGGTTTCCTTCAGCAACAAAGAAGGATGCGTTGGATACAAGGTAAGGAGCAGTGAAGTCCCAGCTGTTGGAGCGATCCTGGGTATTAAAGTAACCAGTGCAGGCATCAAACCACCCCTCCATTAGACCTGCAATCGTCAATATTTACGAGATTTTCAACTGCTAGTGTACATGATAAATAACAGCATCAAACCACTCCTCCATTAGTCCTGCAATCATCAATTTTTACGAGATTTTTAACTGCTAGTGTACATGATATATAACAACATCAAACCACTCCTCCATTAGTCCTGCAATCATCAATATTTAGGAAATTTTTAACTGCTAGTGTATATGATACATAACAACATCAAATCACTCCTCCATTAGTCCTGCAATCATCAATATTTAGGAAATTTTAAACTGCTAGTGTACATGATATATAACAGCATCAAACCACTCCTCCATTAGTCCTGCAATCATCAATATTTAGAAAATTTTTAACTGCTAGTGTACATGATATATAACAGCATCAAACCACTCCTCCATTAGTCCTGCAATCATCAATATTTACGAGATTTTTAACTGCTAGTGTACATGATATATAACAACATCAAACCACTCCTCCATTAGTCCTGCAATCGTCAATATTTACGAGATTTTTAACTGCTAGTGTATATGATAAATAACAGCATCAAACCACTCCTCCATTAGTCCTGCAATCGTCAATATTTACGAGATTTTTAACTGCTAGTGTATATGATAAATAACAGCATCAAACCACTCCTCCATTAGTCCTGCAATCATCAATATTTACGAGATTTTTTACTGCTAGTGTACATGATATATAACAGCATCAAACCACTCCTCCATTAGTCCTGCAATCATCAATATTTATAAGACTTTTAACAGCCAGTGTTTATGATACATAACAGCATCAAACCACCCCTCCATTAGTCCTGCAATCATCAATATTTACAATATTTTTAACTGCTAGTGTATTTGATACATAATATAACAAGAGTTCTAAGGGAGCTATAACAGCAGACTCTTCTGCTCGCTTGCTGTCTATAGGCTCAAATCTCCTGAAAGGTCCAAGGTTAGTATTTTTAATTAACCTATTAGGTCAGGCTTACTTAAAATAAGTGAGTTAGTAAAGGACCCTGTTCTCTGACATTAGGTGTATTGGGTATGTAGTACTAGACCTATATTTTTTAAACCGATTAAAACTTAATGGGTGATGCAGTCAACATCATGCTGGCCACCTTTACTTCCAAGGACTTTATCTGGTACCCACTTTAGGCTTGGTTGACCTGTAAGCCAAGTCATTTTTGAAAAAATCCGGCTCGGTGACGATTTGAATCTGCAACATTTGGAACCTAAGGCAACCGTATAGCCGCTAAACCATGGTGGATTCCCACTTTACTCTTTGAGTCCCAAGGAACGCATAATACGTTCACATGTTTCTACCTAGAAGCTCAATGAACACACGATGCGCCAATTTTATGACTCTCTTTACTACTCCCTGGGCCTGTGATGCTAAACCCCCTGGGACTCAAAGAGGTAAAATGAGTTCCAGGAAAGTTTTTGAGAAGTAAATGTGACAAGTTTAATACTGGCCGCATCTTCCATGGAAATGTCTTTTGGTTTATAAAATTAAAAGGTTTGCATCAAGTGTCCAGTATCAATGATCAATTGGTCAAAGACCATCACAACAATGAAGGCTGGCTGCAATGGATCTCCAACATACTCCTTCTCTTGTCTTGGTAGTACACACTCTCAGACTGTTGTCGTCCATATCTTAAATGCTGTCCTACCACTTCTTTTGTTGTTCACCTCAACTTTTCCGTCCAGTATGGTTTTCTAAAGATTGTAATATCTTTTAATATGGCCAAAATATTTTAATTTTTTTACTTTTTCCCCTTTTAGTAACTCTTTTTTAATTCCCAGTCTGTCGCAAACCTCTGTTTTCGACTGTTTTAGTTTCCTTGAAATATGGCCTATTCTTCAGTATATCCACAACACCAGGGACTCATCTGATTTTCTAGTTGCCTCTTTTACCAGGGCAGTTGCATCTAATTGTTGTTTAATTTGTACTTCAGTTATTAAGGATTCCCTTATTCGCTTCATTTATGTAAGTGTGACTGTAGTATGCACCTGACGAGATACAGCGAAATATGCCAGGCAATAAATTGTGCAATCTATTGTTTGTGTCTTCTTTGTTCGAATATCCCAATATGTTCAATATGCATCAAGGTAATGGAATAGTTCTTAAAATTTGTTTATTAATCTTCTTGACCTACGACCGAAATATGTTCGGACTAACAGGCTATAAGTCAAAACTGTCATAAGTTAAACTTATATTTTTGACACTATCTGTACATAAAACACAACAATGCGGTCTATGTATGTATAATTATTTTACATAATAGGCGAAATACATAATATGAACTTTACTGTATACTTTCCTGGAATGTGTGACCCTACCAATGTAGTTATCTTTCTCTAATATTTACTTATTTTTACTATTTATATGTTGTTGTTTTTTTGCAGTCGTAAGTTGCATAGGTGATAAGTCGCATAGGTTGTAAGTCATGGAAAAAGTGTATTGATATTATTTTGAAAAAAAAAAAGATAGGCCAGCTCTGTAGCTTAGATATGAGTTTGTTTCACAATCTGTGATGAACATTGTTTAATTTCAGAAGTTAAAACTTCAGAAAGAAAAAAAGATAGTTCTTGCAGCTTTTAGCAAGTGGTACAAGAAGCACACCAAGGAAGCATATGGGGTCTCACCACATGACATTTTCCTATGGATGCATAAATGTTGCTAACTTCCATTGTATGAAGAGACAACATAACACTATATTACAGAAAGTGTAACAGTAACTAAAGATACAGATTGAGTTGGTGCCTACCAATTACTTGAGCGGCTAGGACAGGTCATCATTCTATGACTCAGGACAGGGCATAACAAACTTAACAAGCACATTCACAGGCTTCATCTAAGTAGCTCAACACTGTGCCCATGTGTACTGTCTGTGCAAACTGCAGAACATGTCCTGCAAGTCTGTCTTTGGTACAGCTTATCAAGAGTCAAAATCATACTCAAAGTTGTATGATACTGAAAGGAAACTCCAAGAAACAGCCAGTTTTACCACACAAACTTGTCTGTGTGGTGTAAATCAGAGAGTGGTCACAGGAGAAAGAAGAAGTTGATGTAACAATTGGCTGTGGCATAACAAGTTTTAAAAAAGTAAGCACAGAAGCACACACAAAAACAACAAACGCATGGTGAGTTGCTTTGGACTGAAAGAGCTGAAAAAAGAAAACATTTATGTCCTTTCAAAGACCTCAAACAATATTTTCAAAGGCAAAATCAAGTTTAAACAAACCTCTTCCAGGATACAGTAGTTCTCCTTTCCTCACGGAGCATTCAGGGACTGGTGTCAGCAGGAGCACACAACTCTTTCCTGCTATCTTACAAACTGGGGAATAGGGGAAATAATTATGTTATTATCACCTGTTGGATAAGTGATTCATATAGGAAATTAATTGATAGGTATGGAGTACATAATCTGAGAGGTAAGGGAAACATTTTCATAGATTCGTGAAATAGACCAAAAGCTGACAGATAAAGGACAAAAATTACCATAAGCTAACATATAAATTAAATTATTTCCTTAACTCTTTTGCCAAAAGAAGCTGCAAAACCTACATTCCAAATGGGTCCAAACGACCACGAATACTACTTTCCTGACTTCTTCAGAGTAAAGTGTTCATGAGACACATAGTTAATGCTACTGACTTGAGTTCACACCTGGGCAACATTTAGGAAGTAAAGGTCCATTTTCCACGACTCAAGGCGTATAGGGCATATAGGGCTAGACCTATATTTTTACAGACAATTCAGCACATGGTGGGTGATGTGGTCAGCATCACGCCAGCCGCCTTTACTTCCCGGGACTGCACCTGGTACCCATTCAAGGCTGGGTCTACCTGGGAGTCAAGGTCAATTTTGAAAAACAGTCAGGCTCCATCAGGACGCAAACCCATGACCTTCCGATCCGCAGGCGGGCGTCTAGCCACCAACGCCACGGAGACTCTCATTTAGGAGGTAAGCATATGAATACAGTTGCTAAAATAGCATTCAGTTGGTTTCCTTATGATCTGAGTGGCTTTCTTGAAGCTAAGTTGGCCCTCATTAACGACCTGTAGCCTCAATAATGGAGGACCAAAGTCATGTGCAAGTCATCTGACACATACATTTTAAGACCCTGTCGTGTTTTCCATTTTATGCTTCGCTCTGTATTTCGTTTTCCAATATTTAAAAAAAAAATGTTGTCTATGTTCAACTGCTGCAAACAGCTTTTGTAGTGAGCAGCGTTCAGTTAAATTTGTGGTCTGGGGAATTTGTGCTATGTGTATCGGCTGATATTTGTGTATTTATGCCTGGGTGGATGGCTTCGTGTCCATATCCGAGGGTAACTCCCATTCCTATACGTCTATATGTCCAAGCCACATGATGACTGCTAAGCTCGGTAAAACAGAAATTGTTCTCTTAAAGATTTTTTTTTTAGAAATACCCATGGGGTTATGAAACAATTTTGTAGCATTCCTAGGCAAAAGGGGTAAGGTCATTTGTCAGTTTGATATAATTTGATGTATTCATGCAATGTCCGAACACAATGCCATGGATCGTGTTGTGTGGAGTGGGCACATCAGGAAGGGAATAAGTATGAAGGAAGAAATGATTGCAGAAGGGATGAGAACTGAGCGTCTGTGAAGAAACACACTAAGCATAAAAATAGTTTGAAAATCCTATGCTTTAATTGTGGAAGACTTTTCCTAACGTGGTTGGGTCTTGCTAGTCACATTCGCCATTGCCCTGGGCTTCGAGTCCCATGTCTCCTCATAGCACAATATAACATCATTTAATTAGGTACAAGAACCAATATCACAGCATTCAGGGCATTCCCATAAGCGCCCCGTCCCCACTTTCAGCAGCCAACGCAGAGTTTCAATACCAACAGTGCTAGTAGTAGTCTCATTATAGTCCGCCTTGCCTTTCCTCTGAGCATTGAGTATCAGAGCTCCTCATCACCAGACTGTTTAAGAATATATTTCCTATATTTATCTTTTAGCAGCTAGTTCTGTAATCATAATATGATTTCAGAATGTTTATTATGAAAACATTAAACAAATGCAGCAACCATGATATAATTCCCTCCGCCTAAACTCTGACATACTTATCAAATGAGAATTACCCTATTTTCTCCCATAGATTAAAATTTATTGTGATTAGTTTAAAACACCACTAGTTTCATTTAAAATAAAAACAAAATACCACTGACCCATTCTAGCTAACTAATTTGGTTATTAACCTACAGTACCAGAAAAATAACTGGCTTTAGCCAAGCAGTGACTAAACAGCATGAAGAACCTACGGCACAAAAAGCGAGCAAATCTTTTTTAAAAAAAATTGAGATCATGTATCTTTCCTGTGGCAATTTATGGATGTGAGTCATAGTGTCATACTCAGCGGTGAAGAATAAAATTTGAGTTCTGTCTGAACCTAAATGCTGCAGAAAAGTTCTTAGAATACCATGGACAGAGAAGAAGAAGGCATTGACATCGTACATGATCTGAACACTGAAGAGAATTTGCTCACAAACAGCATGCTGTCCCGGAAGCTGGGGTATTTTGGCCACCTTAATCATCATTTGAAGATGCATTGGTTATGAAAGCACACAAGGCTGGAGATTTGGCTAGAGAAGGAGAGAGACATTCAAGCATGTTGTGACAAGAGAGACATTCTGTAAAGGACCAGCTAATCATTGATGATCTATCTATATTTATATCTTCTTCATGTTGCTGTTCTTCTTTTTCTTCTTTGCGTTCACCAGCTGTAAACTCTGGTGGAATGTTCTGGTTGTTTGTCCACTTCTGGACTGCAGTCCTGTTCCAGAACCTGAGTGTTGCATGTGCATTTGTTTGACAGATCTGACATGTTTGTGTGCAGACTGTTGGTTCCTTGCCTCTCAGGCAGATGCACTCCGACTTCGAATGAAGCTCCCAATTAGTCGACTCTTACGACATACTTTTTGGTAGGCAGTGGGTCTATTCTTGTTTTCCCTATGATAGGGCCCCAGAACCCACACGGGGGGAACATGTTGCTGTTGACACATAAGGCCTTTACAAGTGATCTCCATTGCTATTTATCTGCTGTTTTTTTTTTTTTCATTTGGTATCTCATGTTGTTTTGCATTCCTTTATTTCTCTTTCTCATGTCCTTTTCCAGCTGCTGTCCTTTAGTTAGCTATCTCTGTATTCGGCAAACATGTCTAAGCCATCTCTAAGTAATTTGTTTTGTTAAAGTTTGCCAGTGATGAACATTTTCTTCCCCTACGGCAGGCGTATTCAACTGGCAGCCTGCAGGCTAAAACTGGCCCGCGAAGACCTAACGAGTGGCCCACAGATTATCTGCCAGTTGTACTGCATTAAGGGGTCATTACACGCCATTTTTTCCAATTTATGACAAAAACATCACTTTTTAAATGTGTTTGTTTTTGTAAAGTTGGGCATTCGTAGAATAGATTACACACAAAATGTATGTCATTTGTAAACAATTTAGCATTGAAAAGTTAATACTAAAGTGTGTGAAATCCTAAAATCACAGCTAATATAAAGACTAGAAACATAAAATTGTGTATGGATACTTCTTAAACAATATTATAGGGACGGGTCTATGTAACAATAGTTTTATTAAAGTTTTTGTTTTTTTAAATTTGATTGCCATATTGCTAGATTTTTTTTGACTTTTTCAATAAACCTACATTTTAAAATTCTACGAAAAATATTTTTAAACATGTTTAAAGTAAATAAACTACATCTGTACCTCTAAATAGGATTAAAGGTCATGAGTCCATCATCTATTGTTGAATACGTATGTGTGTTTTTAAAATACAATGATTTTAAGTACATATTGTTTTTCACAAGATGGCGGCTATTGCAATGACAACCATACATTTTTTTTTTTTACACTTTAAGTATACAAATGTAATAACATGTATCCCTACAAATGACTATTATAAAATAACTGCTCTAACTCTGTAAATAAAAAAATAAAAAATTGTTGGTGTAGCAACTCCTTAACATTCTTTCTATGTTGGGACAGTGCATCTGGCCCGTGACCATCCCTATTTCCCAAATATTGGCCCCTGAGTAAACTTAGTCAAATAGCCCTGCCACATGGTATTCATCCCACCCACACCCATATACACACACATACACACAATATGCAAGCACACATGTATGTATCTAAACACACACTCTCTGTTGATTCACGGCTACACCCTTCAGTTTACAAGTGTAATTTTTATAGATATCCCCTGGGGATCTTTGCAGGAGCTATGGTGTTAGTGCTTTGTGTGATGCTCTTGGCAGGTGGCTACCCCATATGGGGGAAAAACAAGCGCACCAGTTCAATAAAGATGATCCTCTTGACTTTAACCTTTAACCTTAACTCTTTGCTGAGGTGACTGGCAGAAATAAACAAAAGAAAAAAGTAAACGATTCATGGGTGCACACTGATGTTAATTCTTGCTAGTTCAGGGTTTATGTGCACAGAGGTGAGGACCTCTCTGCGTGATCGATGCTGGAAGACTGCAGTACTAATGCAGATATCTTAGTGCAATTAAAGTGATCCCTATCTAAACCTAAAAAGAGAAAAAAAATAAACTCACAAGAAACTGTAGGGGTAGATTCTCCCACTGACGACAAACTTCCACAATCTTTCAGGTATCTGAAATATAACAGCTGGAAATAATGAACATTATACCATGCTCTTAGCTTAACTATATCTCTTAACCTTCTAAAGACTAGTAGTAGTTGTTGTCATTGTCGTAGCAGCAGCAGCAGCAGCAGTAGTAGTTGTTGTCATCGTCGTAGCAGCAGCAGCAGTAGTAGTTGTTGTCACTGTCGTAGCAGCAGCAGCAGCAGCAGTAGTAGTAGTAATGCCGTGACGTGGATTGTGATAACATAACATAGTGTGATAATATAACACAACTTGATAACATAAAACAATGTGATAACATAACACAACATGATAACCTAACACGATAACACAACATAATAACATAACATAACGTGATAACATCACATGCACAGAGAAGAGACTAAGGTGACCACATTCATTGTTGTTATCTCTCTATGTGCCCAAAGAGCAACAAGATGTATTTCATTCAGAAAATCTTTTTTTTTTTTTTTTTGCAAATGTGTTCATATCTGTGCATAGTAAACCTGCATGTAGTTAGTTAGTTAGTTAGTTGGGTTATCATCATTGCACTCCGGACATGTCCATAGGTGCTCAGATCCTCCCCTCAGTATGAACCCCAACGTCCGATTTCTAATAGTACCAGTTCTATGTTGATTAACAAGTCTTCTAGCGTGTCTGGTGTGCGTCTCTTTTTTTTTTGCTATGCCGATCTTAATTCCCAAGTCTGCCATTCTGATGAGTAATGTGTATTCACTGCCCCAAAGTTCTCTGCCCTGCCCATTTCTCTGAGGGCATTAACAATATCAGCAAACTTGCATGTAATACTACAGTAATGCAAAACTTACAGTAGGTGTTGGTGCATGAAGAAGTGCTGATAATTCAGGACTCATTTGTTCTGGAGATGGTAGACACTGGATTTTACCTGAAGAAAAGCAAATGTTTGATTGAGAATTTATCTTGTAATATTTTCAGTTTAAGGAGATCCACATTATAATCTCAAAGGGAGGTGATAACAACAGTAAAAAGTTTACTCAATTCTAACAGGCAACATACATGCACCTTGTATAAAACATTTTAGAAAAAAATAATCCTTACCCATATGAACGGCTGGCTGCACTAACTGATATGTGTCCCAATCAGAACTTTGGAGGTTGAATAAGGTATTTCTTCTTCTCCTCCTCCTGCTGCTGCTTCTTCTTCTTCTTCTTCTTCTTCTTCTTCTTTTTCTTCTTCTTCTTCTTCTTCTTCGCATTCACTGGTTGTAAACTCTGGTGGATAGTTCTGACTATTTGTCCACTTCTAGAGTTTGGTCCTGTTTTAGAACTTGAGGTTGCGTGCAGATACATTTTACATGTTTGGCTTATTTGTTTGCAGAATGTTGGTTCCTTGCCACTCAGGCAAATGCAACCTGACTTTGAAGGACACCCCTAATTATGTTACTCCTGTGACATGCTTGTTAGGCAGTGACTGTTCTTGTTTTAACCACAATGGGGTCTCCGAATCCATGCAAAGATAACAAGGTATATGAGATCTGGCCTGCTAATCTGGCATCCATATTGAGATTTTTAATCTCAAGTAACAGCCAGGAGAGGATAAAAAGCACATATGCACGCACACAGGCACATGTAAAAGTAGCCAGATTTTTTTTTTAAATTAAATTTATTTGGATTATTTTGAATAGTGTGCAGAAATGTAAAAAATTAAACAAGCAATTCATGTGTTGCTTGCTGTATACAGAAAACATGTACATGATGCTTTGCTTATGACATAAAGACTCAAGCTGCCTTGAACACTTGCTATCCCTTCTTATGACATAACAACAACAATTTTATTTTGTTTCTACCCCATTAGGACATCACACAAGCGATAAACACCTGATGACACAAAGTGCCACCATGTCGGTGAGGATCACCGTGGAGACGTTCCAGAAACCGTGTTCAGGCAATTGGCCATATCTATGAACTGCCTATATTGCGGCCCCTGGCAAAAGCCAGAGTGGGGCTTCAAAAAACAAAAAATTACGTCCTAAAAAGGACGTAAGCATCTTTTCGCTAATGCTGTTATGGTAAACTAATGCGTATACCACTCTTTGACATGGTCCTGAATCTTCCATTTACCCCCTTGCATCTGTTTATCTCCCTTGCATCTGTTTACCCCCCTTGCATCTGTTTACCCCCCTTGCATCTGTTTACCCCCTTGCATCTGTTTACCACCCTTGCATCTGTTTACCACCCTTGCATCTGTTTACCACCCTTGCATCTGTTTACCACTATTGGATCTTTTTAACATACTTTGATATGTCACCTACCCCTTCTTTCAGCTATCACCCCAAAATGAGTCCACAACCCCCTGGATTTACCTACCACTCCTTACATACCCATTTATCCACAATCACACCGGCTTTGTCTGTCTTAACAAATACCCCCCCCCCTTTTTCCTTGAATGTCCCCTATTTCCTGGACATGTTTCCCAGCCCATTATCTCTCACCCACACTCAGAAAAACCTATAAATCTTGCACACGTCACTAATCAGGGCAAAAGACCAGACAACAAAATATGTGTGCTAATTTACTAACCTCCATATTTCCCAGATGCTTCAGTACACAACCTGGTATATTCTCCAGAGAAGTAGTACCTTTGAAACGCTGGGTTCCACCAACCTGGGATGCTGCTGCCTTTTTTCAACATAATAGCCGCTCCCCCATTATCACAGTGGTACCTCGGTGACAATACATCTAGGCCATCGATCCTATTCCTTGGTGAGAACAGAACGTCCGCCTATAGACATGTAGAACATCATAAGTTGTATCCCCCTAGAACATCACACAAAGTGATAAACATGCGGTGACTCAAAGTGCCACCATGCAATTGAGGATCACCCCTGAAGAGGTTCCATAAACCATGTTTAGCTGTTAGGTTATTTTTATGGCCCTCAGCAAAAACCAGGGTGGGGTTTCAAATAACAAAAAATTGCATTCCACATGGGGACTGCATGATTTTGTTTTTTAAATCATTATCATGTGCCCTGTCAATAAACATAAGAGATCACATTTCAAAATCACCAAAACCAAGTTGGTGTCCATTTTGCTTCAACTGAATGACCAATTCATTCAGGTTTTTATCCCTTTACATCAATCCTGTCAGGTGTTACCAAGATCTAGAGTCCATTCCTTCTCATAAAATATCCACACACAAATGCACTGATTGTCTATGTCTAACTTTGTTCTAATCAGTTTAAGGTTTTCATCTGACTGAAGTACAAATTGTAAAATTATGACTTTTCTTGGCATCTTTAGGAAGTTTGCTATCACTTTCCGGCTATCCTCAGAATAATGGGCACAAAAGATGGCGGCCGCAAAAACACCCTAACAGAGTCTCGGTCACGTGTCAATTGCGCACTTCCGGCGACCTAATTTGTGGTTTTCCGGTGACTGCCGCCACCGCCGAGAGTATCCTCCACACCGCTCACGCGATGTGGATTGGGGCTAGACTAGATGGCTGGGACTCACGAGCAGCAGCTTCCCCATCTCCTGCAGCTTTGCTCGTGAGTCCTTTTACTTTTGAAGATCACAGTATGAAGAATATCTGTATCAGAAATGACTAACAGTACATGAGACAGGCAGGGGGACAGATTTGATTACTAATGCCACCAGCATAGACTAATGAGAAGATCAATAAACAAGTGACAAATGGCTTGTTTCTCTGTCGAAGAATGTTCAAAATTATGTTGACAGCTTCCTGTGTGGGTCCCAGGGCCCCATTGTGGGTGAAAAGAGATTAGACCCATTGCCTCTTTAACAAGCATGTCATAAGAGTCGACTTATTAGTAGTTTTCTTTGAAGTCAGAGTGCATTTGCCTGAGAGGCAAGGAACCAATGGTCTGTATACAAAAAAGTCACATCAGCAAAAACATCCAGAACTTTCTGCTGGAGTTCACGTCTCGTTAATGGCGGTCTTCGATGTGTTTGCCAGAGAACAGAAAACTGTAACTGCTGTTTCATTTTAAAATATATTTTAGAAAAGGACAAAATGGAAGTCAAAAGGAAAAGTGTCTTTATCTTGACAGGAAAATGTGTCAGAACAGGAATGAATTCCTGCTGTAGGAGATAGCAAGATGTGGTTTGTTGGTTGGTTGGATAGTTAACTGGTCGGCTGATTGGTTCGTTAGTTGGCTTACTGGCTGGTTGGTTGGTTCACTGGTTAAGTGACTTGACTGACTGGCTGTTTTGATATATTTGTTAGCACCTGCTGAGTGACTGATTGGCTCACTAGTTGGATTTGAGGACAGACAAACCAGCTGATTAGGTAGTTAGTCAACAAAGCGATTGACTGAATTAATGACATCAATGAATCAATGGAAAGTTGCAGTTTTTAAAGAAAAATTGGTGAACTACATACAAATAAGTGGTTGCTGTCATCACATAGCAGCCATCTGTTGACCGCTTCCTGCAAAATGCTCTTATCTTGCCACACCTTTTATTTTTAATATACTTGTAGTCTGGACATGGTTGCAAATTCAAAATCATTTGGTTCTTGCAAACATATTACTTCTCATAAAGCATTCAGAATATCATGTTTTATCTGCCCTTTAAAGAGGCCTTACCTGCAAGCCTATCAATTCCTTTCATGGCTGCATCGTTGCACAAAAATTGAAACTGATCTTCGTCAGCACCGACTGCCTCAAATATGCTAACAGACTTTGTAGGAATGCTTTTGACTGACTAATGCCAAATATTCTTGCCTTTTAAAAGCTGCTACATTTTATTGATATAAAGAAGGAAAAAAAAAGAATATTGGGAAAAGAACTGACGGGAGTACTCACAGTTCTGTTAAGAAGGGCTGCCTTGGCCTCTGGTAGATCCTGAGCAATGATGATTGTTCCAAATTTTTTGCGGAGTCGTTTTAAACAAACATTGTTGGTAGGTGCTCCGGTGAGATGGACTGAAAACATGTGGGGATGATTACAATGATGATGAAGATAACTACACTTGACAGTACAATAATCTGAGGAAGATGTGAAATGAATATGATAGTTTTGATGAGGTTGAAGAAGTGTAACCTGTATTTACAAAATTGGCAGAGGCAGTGATAATTAGACAGGTAATCCCATCTTGTGTAAACAAAAAGATCACATGGTAAATCTTCAACCTCCATGGTAAGACAATACACTTTGTGCAGTTCAGTTGAAATAATTCATGTTTAGTACTTTATTATTAGAACTGTGATGTCAAGGCAAAAACTTACATCACAGTACATGGTATTCTCATATGCACTCTGCTCTCATCTTCAGCAGCCAGTGAGAAGTTACAATTCCAATGGTACTAGCAGCCATCTGATTCACTTGTCATTTGTATGTACACCATATCTTATTTTCCCTTCTATTTTATTTAATTATTCCTAAAGCGCCTTGAGTACACCTAACTTGTCATGAATAAAGCCACCACTCAGTGATGCGGCACCAGCAAGTCTATGTACGTATTCATTTCTGCACGTACCTACCCTTGACAGTGGCCACCCCTCCCTCCTCCCCCCTTCCTCTCGGCAACGGCTTTGACAGGCCGGCAAAACCAGGTAAGGGTAGCCGATGCTCCTTACCATCAGTGTGTTAGGATCTGCCTATCCAAGCATGCAAAGACTACAGTCGGCAAAATGCGCGGAGGAAACCATATTTGGTTCAACGGGCAAGACGGCGACACTAGCAAAGCGCTGTGGAGCGCAAAGAGCATGGCGAGGCCCGTAGAACGCCCTGGTCATCCACTGCATCTAGACATATCTCCAGTCGTCCTGACTCTGTCTTGCCACTGGACCCAGATATGACTCAGGCGAGAGAGTGAGGTCGACGACACTGCGCAACTCTTCCTCACTTTAATCCAAGTCACCGCGCAAGTCACTCTGTCCAAGAACTTTTCTGGCCCTCATCGGTCATCTTCGTACTCATACTTGATGAAAAAGAGTAGTCATCATCATCTGGATGAACAACACACACTGAAGAAAAGATTCAAAAGGTGCTACCATGCTTCACTGTATGTTAATGTCAACTCATAAATAAGGTATCTAATGTGAAATGCACCAGACAATAAGTGTTGCGATATGTTGTTTGTGACCTCTTTATTTAAATTCACAACAGCAAAACGGTGTTGAGTAAATCCAGGGTTGTTGTTTTTTTTTCTTGCAGTACGCAAATGTACACAGTAACAGCATTTTTTTTTTTTAAGGAATTTTTTTCAGCACTGATGTAACCGATACTTTGTAGCAAGCATCAGCACTTTTTTTTTCCACTTACTGATTGTGAATCCGGAGTAATCACTGGAATCCGGGTCAAATCCAGCTGGGTTTCCTGGAGCCACAGTGAAAGAAGCACTACTGTCCAAATATGGCAAGGTGAAGTCAAACTCATTCTGTCTGTCGGTTGTAATCTGATACCCTGGGCATCCATCGAACCTAGCTGCCATCAGGCCTAAAAAAACAAAGGGACAACAAAACACAATAATTTTTACACAATGTTTCACTTTTGTGTGGAGGAATAAAAATATGCATAAAGGCAAAGCAGTACACTTCGGTTAGGTTCACCTTAATCTCCCCAAATAGAGTAGGTCACTTTTCATTCACAAGTTTGTTGGGCTGGTAGACTTTCCTGAAGGTTACAAGTGTGTCCTGCTCTGTTGTTTGCTTTCTGTGATGTCTTGTATTTACGTTTTCATTTCAGGAAAGAGAATGCCTGTGACATAGGTTGCAGCACTCTCTAGGGGGGTTGTGTAAGGATCAGTTTGTCCATGTTTTTGAGTGTTAAAAGCGCTGGCGTGCTGAAATATACAACATGCGATTTCAACGACATTGCAAAACACCCCCCGTAACCTTCTGCCGAGGTGAGAGGTTCAGGAACTACCAATCAGAAGTGAGCTAGTGTATATATGGGCGAGGCGTGTGGAGACCAGCGTTACTTTTACAGTACACTTCTTATTCATCATCTTCTTCCCACTCACCAGTTTCAAACTGGCAGAAAGGTATAGTTGTTTGTCCACTTTGGAACTTTAGTCTTATTCTAGCATTTTGGTACTAATGGTTCTGCTATGATTGACTCCAACATTGACTAACAAATGAGTGTTCTAAATGTACTTGACCTGTGCCAGCATAGTCAATGCTCCTGTCTGTGAAGATACACTCTGTAAACTCGGCCAGCACTGTGTGGCAGCTTCTGTCCGCAAGTTTGCACACTGTACAACACATAAATATTCCATCAGAAGACAGTTTAAACAACAAAACAAGAAATTTTTATCTCAGCAAAGAAGACACGAACAAGAGAAAAACACAATTTAGTGCACAACATATTTCGCTGTCGGACTATAGTCGGCGTCTGTGGCTTATGAGTTGCGAAGATGCTTCGTAATGCCGGGTTGCCAGGTTTTATCTCAGCTGCGGATGATTTGCCTTGCACTGGTTTTGCAGTGGTACTGAGAGCTGATCCTTCAGAGAGCAATGGCAAACTAATGAACGTAAAATTTGCCTAGAAAAACCACAATAGCCAAAAAATGCTTGGGTTGGTTCTGCAATCTCGGGTTAAGAATATGCGTCTAACTTTATTCTGCTAATCCCCTCATTTGCATACTACAGTAATGATTACCAGGAAGCAAATGAATGAATCCTTCTAGCTGAAACACAAAACTGACTACATTCAAAGGTAACTGCCTGTTTCATCAGGGCTAATGCAGGTTCACCACCACTTCCTTTTGTCTGCATAATTTTAGACTGAACCAGTTTATTATCATTGCTTCCATGAAGCAGATCATGACCTGGTAGTTTGAGATATAGAGGATTCAAATGCATCTAGGGTCATTTTTTTCACGTCAGATGGAAGAATGGATAGAGAAATCAACAAGCGATGTACAAAAGCAAATCAGGTTGTGAAACAATTAACACTGCTTCTGACGCACAGAAAAATACCTCTGTCAGCCTAAGCAAATCTCATAAGAACGGTTTTTTGGCCCAGGCTGTGCTATCAGTGCAAAACATGGACCTTTACTAGAACTATCAAGCTGAAGATCATGACAACAGAGAAGAGATGTCTTAGGAGAGCTGCCGGTGTAACGAGATAAAATCAGGAATGAAGAAATTAGAAGACTAGGACTGAAACCATCATTCAATTCATTAAAGAACAACAAATGAGATGGTTAGGCCACCTGACGAGAGTGCTCTGTTAGCAACTGCCACAGAGAGCCACGCTGAAGAAATATAATGAACACAGAGCAAGGGGAAGACCGCACAAGAGATGGGTCAACATTATCAGGAGCAACCTAACAAAAATGAACACCAACTGGAAAAATGTGCATCAACAATCCTTACATCTCCTCAAATACCTCGCTGAGGTAAATGGTAGAAGGGAAGAAAAAGAAAAATAAGAACTCTATTCCGAAAGTCCTGTTTGTTCATCCCTGACTGGAGTATGGTTTTTTCCAGGACCTGTGAGTTACATGTTGATTTTCATAGTTCTAACTTATTGCAAGCAGTTTTTTGTGCCTCGCCTTGTAGGCATGTGCACTCTGACTTGTAGGCATGTGCACTCTGACTTGTAGGCATGTGCACTCTGACTTGTAGGCATGTGCACTCTGACTTGTAGGCATGTGCACTCTGACTTGTAGGCATGTGCACTCTGACTTGTAGACATGTGCACTCTGACTTGTAGGCATGTGCACTCTGACTTGTAGGCATGTGCACTCTGACTTGTAGGCATGTGCACTCTGACTTGTAGGGATATGCACTCTGACTTGTAGGCATGTGCACTCTGACTTGTAGGCATGTGCACTCTGACTTGTAGGGATATGCACTCTGACTTGTAAGGATATGCACTCTGACTTGTAAGGATATGCACTCTGACTTGTAGGCATGTGAACTCTGACTTGTAGGCATGTGCACTCTGACTTGTAAGGATATGCACTCTGACTTGTAAGGATATGCACTCTGACTTGTAGGCATGTGCACTCTGACTTGTAGGCATGTGCACTCTGACTTGTAGGGATATGCACTCTGACTTGTAGGGATATGCACTCTGACTTGTAAGGATATGCACTCTGACTTGTAAGGATACGCACTCTGACTTTTAAGGATATGCACTCTGACTTGTAAGGATATGTACTCTGACTTGTAGGAAAAGGTTGATCTAGGATGACCATGAAGAGGCCTAGACCAGTTTTAGCTTTGGTGCCGGTAGATCACTACAATGTGTGGTGATACTCTAGGTCCTGGTAGATCACTTCAATGTGTGGTGATACTCTAGGTTTTGGTAGATCATTACAATATGTGGTGATACTCTAGGTCCAGGTAGATCACTACAATGTGTGGTGATACTCTAGGTCCTGGTAGATCACTACAATGTGTGGTGATACTCTAGGTCCCGGTAGATCACTACAATGTGTGGTGATACTCTACTTCTATCCTTATGAACTGACATTACACATGTCACAGTTACCACTCTCTCTGGATGACCAGAATTTATGAATGAAAAGCTAGGACAAACTGTCACAAACACTATCAATGTCTTTGCTATCTGATCTGAGATATTATGCTTCAACACAACTTGTGATCTCCAAACAGCATGCATCTTTTTGTATGCTGACACATGTCCATGACACGATGAAAGGCTGTCAAAATCCTCTTCAACCATCTTTCTCTACCTTTCTTTCCATACATCTTTCTAGCTGCCTTATGCTCCTAATTATCAGGGCATCAAAACCTGTCAGTTTAAGGAACCCCCCACCCGCATCTGAAAGCGGGCTAAGCTCATTCTCCCCTCCCACCCCCCAACCATGTTAAGAAGTTTCCTTTTTAAATTCTGACTGAGTTGATATATATCACAATACTTTACATATATATTTTTAATGTATTTGCCATTCAGCAAATTTCTATTGGCGTATTTTTTTTTCTAATAAGTATTATTGTTATTGTTGTTATTTTGATTGTTATTATTATTATATTTATCTTTAATATCCTTAATGCAGTTAGTCCTCTTCTTAGCTTGTTTATTTATTGTCCATCTTCTACATTCATACAGCTGTTTCACATTCACATGCATACAGCTGTTTCACATTCACATGCATACAGGTGTTTCACATTCACATGCATACAGCTGTTTCACATACATATAGCTTTTTCACATTCATACAGCTATTTCACATTGATGCAGCTCTCTCACATGCATACAGCTGTATAGGTTATATAAAGGACTTTAACACTAATGTTCTCACTGCAGTTAAAATCTTTTTATATTTGACTTTTATTTTGATCTCTATAATGCATTCTCTGTTAGAAGTTGTGACAGTTCCAGCATGTTACAAATGTGTTCATTCTCTGTCAGATGCTGTGATAGTTCCAGCATGTTACAAATGTGTTTAATGTCTGCAGTCTGTATGCCACAGTGTAATCAAATCTTCTTCTTTTTCACATTCACCGGTTGTAAACTCAGGCGGAAAGTTCTGGTTGTTTGTCAACTTCTGAACTGCAGTCCTGTTTCAGAACCCGAGTGTTGTGTGTGTATCCATTTGACAGATCTGACTCATCTGCATGCAGACTGTTGGTTCTTTGCCTCTCAGGCAGATGCACTGCCACTTTGAAGAAAACTCCTAATTAATCGACTCTTACAACATGCTTTTTGGTAGGCAGTGGTTTTATTCTTGTTTTTACCTATAACAGGACCTTGGAACCCACACAGGAAGTGTAATCAAATAAATTCTATGTATTCCTGACTTAACGTTTTGTGACAATTGGAAAAATTTGTTACAGACAAAGAAGAGACACACTCACTGAGATAACGCTGGATGGTATACACTTTTTTGCATATCATTCTCCTCCATATGTAGACTAAAAGTATATAGTTCTGCTGTCCAGCTGAGTTGAGCTCATGGAACGACACTGTGAGCTGCAGGTTTTATTTGGAATGCTTTTTGACTGTGCTCAATGTGGTTTACATTGTGAGCTGCAGATTCAGAAAATGGAGAATGCAGAACTACTGATTTGTTGGTTGTTACCACTGCTTTCATTAACAATGAGCTGCATTTCTAGTTCCAGACTGTGTGTGTTGGCACATCTGATAGCTGCCATGTGCATTTAATGCATGTGTATGCTACTGACTTTGCAGAAACTGTAGTCTATGTCAGTTTTTTCACAAGGGATTGAGTTCTTTATTAGTATCCTACCCCAGATGACATCACAGGACAGTCCAAAATTTTAGAGGGTGGTAAGACTCTGTTTCCCAGCTGTATGATGTTTTTAACGACCCCAGAACATCTAGAACTGGCTTTAACCCAACCCATCTATGTCCCACAAGAGAGTGCTGCCTAGGTCCCATGACTGCATGCAGCCTATCTACCACCCCATGAAACATTAGACTGTCCCTTGACCTGTGGATTTCCCCTGTCTGCGGTAGGATATTAATAAAGCATCAGGGATTGTGATGGACATTCTGGGTGGTTTGCATTGGCACAGGAACAGATTATCTATGGGGGTGACTTGTTTGCTGTTGATCTGGAACTGCAATTCCCTGAGGGAATTGCTTCATTACTCCAAGGACTAAGGTTTGTAAAGGTGCTTAGCACATGATAATGATATTTGTGATAGTCAAGTCAATGATATAATTTAAGCAGTTTACATTACAGGAACAATGTTGTAAATGTTCTGGACAACTATTTCTTTTACCTGCATTGACAATGTCTAAGTCAAAGCCAACAAGCTCGCCAAAGTCATTTCTGAAACAAAATATGCAGGACAATTACTGAATGTTTAACCAAATTTATCATTGTAAATGGTCAATTGTTCAGAGGTAAAAATAACTAACACAGAATCATGCACACCTGGTTGATTTCACAAAGTCAGTTAAATGAATATTTGTTTTTAGCTAAAGTAAAGTAAAAGGGCCTTTTAAATGTCAGTTGCAATCAGATATATTATGTTAGATTCACATCTGCAGATAGACTGGCCGGTTCTGCACCATTTAGTCGTAAACTGATGTATGACAAGCTGGATGTTGTGAGGGCGCTTTGGGAGTGAATAAACAGTGCCAAGGAACAGATAGATCATTACGGTCTGAGGAGAATGGCACTACGAGGAGTTACAAGGGGATCTGGCTGAAGCTCGACACTCAGGGGAAAGGCAAGACGGATTTAAAATCAGACAGTTATTGGTACCATCAGAACTTTAACTTCGCTTGCTGCTGAAGATGGGGACAGAGCAATTATGGGGGTGTCCTGAGTGTTGTGATGTCAATTATCAATTCAACATTCAACAAATTCACATTTTATAAACATATTTTGCTACGTTACATGTACTAGTGAAAGAGCTCATAACGTAGGTAACAGATTTATTGTGATGGAGACTTTGCTTCTACCACATTTTCTGTATGGTCTCTACTGTCTTCTTTGATGACCTTATCTTTAGTTCTTGCCATGAAAGTCCCTGCACTTTTGCATCTAACGAATCACAGAAGCATTCGTATAGCAGTTTAGAAAAAGACATATATACAACAGCATCTTCCGGTGATGTGTGTTCTCCACCAATACTTTAACTTCTGCATCAACTACTGGTGACGCCAAATCACGGCACTGTCTTGTCAGGGTGATAAGCACCACAAAGTACTGCTTGTATTCATTTGGTATGGATATCCATTCCTCTTCACGGTTTATGTCTTAAAGGGAAATCACCCGCTGAAGTACTGTCTCTGCACGGTCAAACCGAGACTGGCCTTGTTTAAGCCAATATATGTTTACTTACTCTTTTTCTTTCTAAACAATTATGATAGTCATGTGCTGGTGAAACAACTCATAATGTATGTAACAGATTGTAATAATGAATCTTGGTATAAATAATTGTGATAGTGTTCACATCACATAATTTTAATCTTAATGAGGTTTAAAGTAGATGATTGTCAGAACCTTGTATAAACTGTTTGTAGTGACCGAAGAATACAACAAATGAATTCTGAAAGTTAACTTTCATAAACACATAAATGTGACATTGTAAAACTTACACATAACTGTATGGTCTCTTCTTTCCATCACTCACAAATAAATAAATGTGTGAGTCCAATTTCTGACTTGTGTTGACTGGGCTACTGCTCTGTTTACAAAAATACATAACACAGTAACATTAGATATCAGCATTCCATACATGCTCAAACTTACTGGATAATTACTTCATTGTCATTAAGTATTTCAGCCTCTCAGATGGTTTCTGGTCAGAATTATCACATGCTTCTTTCTTCTCCTTCTTTGTCCACTGATTATAAGCTCCAGAGAAGTCCTGGTTGTTCATTCATCTGGTCTTTGGCTTTGTGCCAAGGTCTGAGTTTTGTGTGTACATCCGTTTTACTAGCTTATTTGAATGAAGTTGGGTGTTCCTTGCCGCTCAGGCAGATGTACTCCGACTTCGAAAGAAGACCACAGTTAGTTGACTCCTATGACATGCTTGTTAGGGAGGCTGTGGGTCTATTTTTATGTTCCCCACAAGAGGGTCCTGGAACCCACATTGGAAGATGCTTTCTTTACTTCTATTTATTTTCGAATTTATAGAGTTGAGCAACAAAGATATTTGAAAAGAAAACAATCTGAAATAATGGTAATTACAAAGAAAATAAGCCACCAAAAATGCAATATCAGAATAAATAGGACAAATCTGAAACAAGTGGATATGTTTAAGTACTTGGGTTCCCTGATAACAAACAGATTGAAAATCCATTCAAGAAGTCAACTGCAGAAAAGCTCACCACAGTTAGTTGACTCCTATGACATGCTTGTTAGGGAGGCCGTGGGTCTATTCTTATGTTCTTATGTATATCATAGGATGAAGAATGCTGCAAAGGATAATATCTGTGTCAATTTAGGTAAAGAGAAGAGTTCTTAAAGGTGAAATGGAGCCGGTTCTGATAAGTGGAAGTGAATCTTGGACAGTTAGCCAAATAGTGAGAAATTATCTGAATGCTGCAGAGATGTGGTTTTATAGAAGAACAATGGAAACACCACGGACAAATAAAAAGAGTAATTAATGAAGATGTCTTGAAAGAAATTAACTCATGAGAAGAACTGACTGCCCACATCAAAAGGAAATAATCTACATTCTTTGGCCAGATTGAGAGAAGAAGAAAACTGGAGTACATTGTGACAGTGGGAAAGTTAGATAGGAAAAGAGGCAGGGAAAGACTGAGTCAGAAGATGCTGGACAGTTTGACATCATGACTTTGAAGATCTTCTGTGTCAAAAAATTACTTAAAGTACATGAGGCAGAAGGCTGTGGATAGACATGCCTTCCAATGGCACATGGCATTGACAATAAGACGAAGGAGAGAACTGGCATCCCTACTCTGCTTAAAAATGTCATCTGACTTCTCCTTTTCTTGTTTCCAATATTATAACAACCAAAACTGTCACTACAGGATACATTAGCGACCGGGTCGCCCTTTGGGTGGACGTATAAAACTTTGTCGCCTTTCAGGACAGTATTTAGGTCTGTCTCCCTTGATCGCATCAACAAGGCAAGAGTCCTTTTCAGGGCTACTTGGTGGCGAGCAATACTACATCATTTTATACGACGCAAATAACCTAGTCACAAATATAACCTAAAGATGCCGGGAAGCTGCCCCTTTGATGATGCTGACTGAACATAGAGATTTTTTTTTTTAGTAAAACAAGTAAGGCACCAATGAATACTGCCAGATGACTATTTGCTTTTTTATAAATGTACTTTAGGACTGTCCTACTTCCACCGAGTTCATAAAGATAGGATACAACCAGAGAATGAAACGGAAGAACAGGCTGCAGGCATATGTGACATATAATGGCACAACAGGATGATGATGACAATTGTGTTTGAAAATGTAAGAAAACGTGGCTAGTGTATTGAGAAACAAACCAAATATAAGACTAGCAGGCACTGTGCCTTAAGACATTTGGCTGTGGAAAGGGTTTTTTAATGTTGCTGGCTTACCTCCAGATTTAGACTTGAGGAGACCCTGAGACATATAAAGTCCTGAGGCCCTTACTGTTTTAAATTACACCAGGTAATATCAGACCATTTTAAAATATATACGCCTTTAAAATATAGGGATGATGATAGTAGGTTCTCTGTTAACTTGTAGTAAAAGCAGTAACGAAGAATGTGTCTGCAAAATCACAGAAATTATATTATATTATCCTTTTATTCTCTTTTTTTTATGCATTTGCGAACACACAATAGGACTTTGTTGAGGTCCATGTAGATTGTGAGGCCCCAAGCTACAGCTTAGTTATCTTTTGTCTAAATGCAGCACTTGTTACCTTCTTTACCAAGTGTGTCTCTGTATGCGGCTAGATTAACTTAACTATCAGCTTCTATATTTTAGGTACAGACAACTGTTGCAACTCACTTCTGGGTTTGAACGTTCGCTTGTGTAGACCAGGGTTGCACACTCTACCACCTTGACAGACAGCAATGCCAGAACCAGCATTTCAAACAAGAGCATTTTCAGGATTGTGCTTCAGGTCAGATGACACAAGATTTACTCGGCAACCACTGAAACGTCATAATTAATGTAATGTGTCATACCAACATTTGAACCAGTTTTACATCATAGGTCTGAAGGTTTTCGTACACCAAACGACACTCAATGAATGGAGATAACGCCTTTTCTTTCCAGGTCATTTCCTGGTACTCATTTTAAACAAGGCTACAGGGTTGCCAACACAAAATTTAGAAAATCCGCCAAACACTAGCTAAAAACAAAAGGGCTAACCACACACTGTTTTCAATGCCAACGCAGGGCTGCTGAAATTTATATTGGTGATGGAACCACTTTTTGTTAATGAACCAAAACACACTAAAAGGTATAAAAATTATAATTTAAATACAGTTTTGAAACGTCTTTAAACACACACATACGCATATATTTATATTTCTATATGTAGGCCTATGTATATATCAAATTAGCTTGCGATAAATTCACGGGAAATGAAATTCGTTGTCCATCACATCATTGCTCCACTATTTTTTTCTCCCAGCTATTGTTTGTTCTAAAGAAGTGTGGCGACTTCCAACTGGTACAAGTTATGTCCTGAATCAATAACTTTAATCTCATAAGTGCACTTTTATTGAAGTCTTCAAAGACGTGGGATTTTTGTTTAAATCTAATAAATAATCGCAGAGAGAAAAAACTGTTTCTGCAGCTGCACAGGACTGATGTAATCCCAAAAGTCTAAGCCTACATTTTGAGACTAGAGGGAGGAGATTTTTATATCTTCATTTTCTTCTGAAATTGTAAACCACAATTTTTTCTGTTGTTTTTCAGAATTGTATAGTTATCTTGCACTGCAAGTTCCCTTCATTCTTTAGTTATTTGTTCATATATTTGTTCTTTTTTAACAAGACTGGAGTTTCTTTCAGTATTATCCACCGTAAAAGCCAAATTTGTAAACCGTACCAACATATCGGGCGTGGTGTCAAAAGTAAAGTTTAGCTCGACAAGGATCAAATAGAACCAAATCAGTACGAAAATACCAACTTCGACAGCCCTCGGCTAACCACTTTCCAAATAAATTAGACTTCTTGAATTTGGCCTTTCACATGCCAGATTAGCAACATTGATAGTTTGACCTATATTCTGCTCTTGCTAATAAATATTTTTTTTTTCTTTTTTCTTCGGCTTTTTGTGATTTCATTAGGTAATTCTTAGTAAATTAAATGACCCTTTTCTAGGTCTTTATGTGTATTGGGTATATAGGGCTAGACTTATATTTTATAAACCAAACGGCACTTGGTGGGTGATGTGGTCAGCATCACACCGACCGCCTTTACTTCCTAGGACTTTACCTGGTACCCACTCAAGGTCATTTTGGAAAAAAGTCCGGACCCCGTCAGGATCCGAACCCACGACCTTAAGATCCGCATGTTAGCTTCTTGCCACTAGACCACGGCGACTCCCATTAGGCAGTCTTACATTTAGTAATTTACTATTGCCACTGAACAATGAGTAGCGGCTGGCCGGGCGGTTCAGAACCTCCCACACGAGAGACGCGGGTTTGTATTAGCAATAAGGCTGGGGATTTTTGTTTGTTTTGTCGCTGGCAAAAATAAGCTCCGGATCTGCACAGACAGTGGCGACAGCACTAGCCAAGGGGTTCCAAATCTTCATCATCAAAAACCCCAAGCCTACATTGCACGAGTGATAAATACAGATAATAATCACGGGAGGGGCGGGTAGAGACTCACCCCTAGATTATCAACTCTACATACTACCGTTGCAAGTTCTCCCTAATCGTATATATAGGTCATATTTTACAACTACTACTATTATTACTACTGCTACTGCTGCTACGTCTTCCCCCTTCTCCTCCCCATTTTCTTCTTCTTTTCTTCTTCTTCTTCTTCTTCTTTTTTTCTTCTTCTTCTTCTTCTCCTTCTTCTTCTTCTTCTTCTTCTTCTTTTTCTTCTTCTTCTTCTTCTTCTTCTTCTTCTCTGTGTGTCAGTGTGTGTGCCTGTGGGCGTGTCTGTGTGTGCATGTGTGTGTGTCTCCATGCTTGCCTGTATGTATGTGTGCATACATGTATGTGTGTGTAAGTGAGTGGGTAAGCGTGTGTATGTGGGTGTGCGTATGCGCGCGCGGGTTTTTGCATGCATTTTACAACCCATGCTTTTGTGTTCTTTTATGGTATTCATAATATTCATATCATCACAGGATCATAAAATGCTTTATTAGTAAAATAAAACTGCTGTGCGAAAGATAGTTGTCTGAAAGGGCCGAATGTAAGACAGGCCTGCGTGCCCACTTTGTGACCCTTTGAAAAAAAAATTTGATTTTTTTTTACGTCTTCTTCTTGTTCTTATTCTTATTCTTATTCTCCTAACCACCTTCTCCTACTTCTCCTCCTCCGTCTCCTCCTCCGTTTCCTCCTCCGTCTCCTCCTACTTCTCCTCCTCCGTCTCTTCCTCCGTCTCCTCCTCCGTCTCATTCTTCTGCTAATACTGCTGCTACTAAGCAACTACTACTACTGGGCTGCCAACCCTGCTAGTATTACCAATAATAACAAACTGCTTCCATTACTACTATTACAACCATCTCGAGTGCTAGAGGTTCCGGGTTCAATCCCCGATAAGGGCTGGGATTTTTCACGTGGATTTGGACTTCTAGTAATTCCCCCTGGTCTCTAGGTAGTGAGATCAGACACCCGTGCACATTGTTGTGCACGTAAAAAAAAAATCCCTTGGCAGTTGCAAATCGAAAAGAGTAGCCTAACGGCTCTGCTAGGGCAAAAATTTAGAGTTAAAAATCTACCCAAAGTATTTCAGGATCCTCGCCGGTGCTACAGAGCCTGTACACTGTGCTGAGCTTCTTCGGACTCAGACTTGAGTTAAAAGAAGAACGGAGCACTTATGGGTTACACCAGTGTGCCATGATGTTGATCCATTGTTCAAAACCTCTTACTACAATCGAACTAAAACTACTAATATTTCTGCTAAACTGCTCTACTACTTATACCCATAATAATTATGTTAAGTGTTTTGAAATTAAAGGACTCAAGCAGAGATGACTTTCAACGGGAAAAAATAAATTTTTTAAAGACAATTCCTATCATAACCAATGAAGTTTGCTAAACTATAATACTATTAACCCAAGTGTAGGAAAGAATGAATAAAATACTCAGGAAACGAAAACTGAGGCATAAGTAGCTAGAAATTTGAAATTATATCTCACTTTAAACGACGACAATTTTGTTTAAAATAATTGAACAAATAAATCATAAGATACAATATAAAAGAAAAGACTTACATAATAACTGTGCTACCACTGAGGTGTGCACTCGGTAGCTCTCTACAACTTGTGTGTGAGGGAGCAAGTGTAGGATGAAACCCCTAAGCAAGCAAATTTCAGTCACGTGAAAATGATTGTTACATAATGCTCTCTCTCTCTCTCTCTCTCTCTCTCTCTCTCTCTCTCTCTCTCTCTCTCTCTCTCTCTCTCTCTCTCTCTCTCTTACATAAAAGTTGAAGAAGCTGGCCTGTTGTAGTGTAAACTTTTCACAGATCACGCGCCGTAGGCCGGGGCAGCTCTCCTAACTACACCCACCCTTCCGAAACCATTTTTTTTTCCTTGTCCTTTTTTTTTGTAACCGTGATCCGTGGGAAAATTTGGCGAGGAAATTACTTCAGCGGGCCAGCAAAACAGGGCATTATACACAACAGGGGCAATGGCACCGGAGGGCTTTGGTTATTTAACACCCCCTCCACTTCTCCAGTCACCAAACATACACCCCCCCCCCCCCACACACACACACACCTCTTCTAAAAATATGTATAGGAGCTAAAGTTTTGTTTATATATTTTTTTGGATCATCATAGTCAGTTCCTATTCTCTCCATGCTGGTTCAATAATCCCATTGTGGGAGGAAAAAGAGTAGACGCAATACCCCCTTTTAAGCATGTCATAAAGGCCGGCTAAGTAGGGGTTTCTGTCTAAGTCGGGGTGCATCTGCATGAGATGATGATGAAGCAAAGAAACCTCTTGAGGGGTCACCTAGACAATATGTAAAGGATTTGAACCGACTCCTCCACCCCCACCTTCCATCCACGCAATTTCAGCGCCTCTGCTTCTGTGTGGATTCATACACGTGACCATTGAGCCAACAGACTCGCGCTGTTCTGGAAGTCGTTAATTAAAACGAGTGCCAAAATGTCATCGTCTCCTAATTGATAGTCTATCACACGCTACTTGCCTTCAGTTCTATTGGGCAAATAGGGCTAGTCCTTTATATTTTATAGACCAATTGGCACTCGTTGGTTGATATGGTCAACATTACACTGGCAGCCTTTACGTCCAAGGAGTGTACCTGATATCCGATTAAGGTTGGGTCGACCTACGAGCCAAGGTCATTTTTGAAAGAAGTCCGATACTTCCAGGACTTGAACTGAACCCACGACCTTTTGATCTGGAAACGAGCGTCTAGCCACTACACCTGGGCGGCTCCCCAATTCCAATAGTACGGAGGGGGGGGGAAGAAAAGGGGTAGTGAGGGTGGGGTTGGGGGGGGGGGAGGGTTAACAAGTCGATCACGCTCAACTTGCTGCAAAAAGTAGTGAATGTGAGCAACGTTGTGTTATATGTGTGGTTCGGTTTATGCCTGCCAAATTTAATGACTGAAATTTATGTATTTGTGCCTGGGTTGATGGTTTAGACTCTCCATCCGAGTGGATTGTCCGTCCCTACATGTTTGGGTCCCAGTTTGGTCTCATTTTTGACCACTCCTCGTCTCTTTATATTATCTCTCCACGCTCTCATGTTTGTCTGTCCCGTTGTCTACTCACATTCAACTATTTTGTGTACTCAAATTGTGTCTCTGTCAACTGCCAATCATTCTGTATAACCTCAAACAGTTTGGTCTCGTTTTTGACTACTCCTCGTCTCTTTATATTATCTCTCCACGCTCTCATGTTTGTCTGTCCCGTTGTCTACTCACATTCAACTATTTTGTGTACTCAAATTGTGTCTCTGTCAACTGCCAATCATTCTGTATAACCTCAAACAGTTTGGTCTCGTTTTTGACTACTCCTCGTCTCTTTATATTATCTCTCCACGCTCTCATGTTTGTCTGTCCTGTTGTCTACTCACATTCAACTATTTTGTGTACTCAAATTGTGTCTCTGTCAACTGCCAATCATTCTGTATAACCTCAAACATCGCAGTCTATAAGCCCTTATGATCCCAGTTTTTAGCACTGATTTAAACAGATTGTTTGCGTCTGTGAACGGAGAATCCCAAAAAAAAGTTTAGTTGCGTCTCCTTTACAGGACCAACCTCAACAGCCCCCTAGGTGTTGTGTGGTTTTTCTAGGCAATTTACGTCTAGTAGTTTGCCATTGATTGCTGGACGATCGGCTTTCTTGATACCACCGTCGAAACCAACACAAAGCACATGGCCATCCCAAAATAACGGGGTTCAAATTTCGCTAACGTCGATTTACATGACACTGTATCCCTGTCTAGACTGATGGACACGGGGTTGAAGCCTGGAGCTGCAAGAAATGAACATTTCACTAAGCGAACAAGACAGTAACCAACACAGAACCGGTGTCATCTGACGCTTTACACTTGTGGATCTTTTCAGGAGATCGGAGCCCCTATGGATCTGTCCGGAGTGCTGTGGTGATATTCCTTTCTAATCACTAACGTCGATTTAGTAAGCAGATTGCTGCGCGTTGAATTTTGCAATTCTTGTAGCGTTTTTCTGTTGAGAAAACAATCACAAACGATCCAGTAGTAAATTATCTGTAAAGTCCTGTAAATGAACTACACCGAACCAAAAGTAAAACTATCCGCCGATGAAGTTGCCCGTGTGGATCCTTGGACCCCATTGGAGGGGTTGGGGTGGGGTAATAATAGGCCCGCTGACCCCTAAGAAGCATGTGCCAAGAGGCGAATAATTAGGGGTTTGCTAAAATCGGATGTGCTGGGCTAAAAAGGGCAGATATCACAGCCTAGCTGTAAACCACAAAACAACCTGCCCCTTTCAGAGTGAACGCGAAAGGAGAGACGACACAGACCCTGCACACAAACCTTGAACTTGGCCTAATTCCTAGACAACCTGACCTTATACTCACGCGTAGACCTACTTTAACTTTCAACAGTGGCATACATCCAATTTCTTAAGTCACGCGCTCGCTGGTATTTCTCAGAGGTCAAAATTATGTTGGCTGAAACTGAACTACAAGATTACTAGATTTCATGAAACGACTTTCATCTGAGTTATTTTTAAAGAAATGTGAAGAATCTACTTGTAGCATCTTTTTGTTAGTAACTGGCATATTGAATAATACAGTTGTATGAAAGCTGCAGAAATGTGGTTTTCTTTAGAAATTACGAGAATGCCGTAGACAGATACTAAAATGTAATAAAGAAATTTTGGGTACATGTAACGTTAATCTTTCCAAGCCCCGCCTATATACACACTAGCTCACTTCTGATTGGTAGTTCCTGAACCTGTCACCTTGGCACGGTATCAGACTACTTCAAAATGACCTTGGCTCCCAGTCTTGAGTAGATACCACTCCTAGGAAGTAAAGGCTGTCGGTGTCGTGTTGACCACACCACCCGGCCAGTGCCATTAAACTGCATTATAATCATTGCGTTATTTTTAGGACGAAATTGTTTGTTCTTTGAAGCTCCACCCTGGCTTTTGACAGGGGCCGCAATATAGGCAGACCATAAATATGGCCAGTTGCCTGAACGCGGTTTCTGAGACCTCTAGACGGCGATCCTCATCTACATGGTGGCACTTTGTGTCGCTTGTGTGATGTCCTGGTGGTATAGAAAGTCAGTCAGTTAGGTCCCATTAAACGTGCATAGAAGTTTTATTGTTACGTGTTTGTTTGTGTGTGTGTGTATATATATATATATATATATATATATATATATATATATATATATATATATATATATATATTTCTAAATGGTTCATTTAACTTTGTTTTTAATAAATTAGCATATTACTGTTATTATTACTTACGTTTTCAAGGCATATTCATCTATATAACTCACCCATACCTCCACGCCGACCCCACCCTCAGCAAGATTTGTAAGGGAGCTTGACCTAGGAATGGAAATTATAGTTTTCGTTTTCAGCAAATTTATTTAATTTGGTGTCACGAAATTGACGAGGCGGAAGATTTCAGCTATTTTGCTCACCAAAGTTCTCCTCAGAAATTCTTTGCGTCTGCGTTAAAAGTTGTGGACAGCTTAACAGGAGTTTACTGTGTAGATAAGTTAGGGCAGTGTTTCTAAAACTTTTCTTGGTGGTGGCGCCCTAACCTAAGTAAAAAATATGATTATTCGTGTCTTTGTTAAATTTATTATGAAGCTTTTACAATATTTCGTGCCGCTCCTGTGAAGAGGCCCCGGCTCCCCGGGGCGCCGCGGCTCACAGTTTGGGAATCACTTGGTTAGAGTGTTTAGTTTTGATCCCAACAGAGAAGCAAAACAAAACCAAAGAAAAATCGTTTTGTTTCCTTGCTAAGGATTTCAATACGGGTCTCCCTCATGATAACCTAACTTCTTAATGTTTCCGCCACATAATTTACCTTTGATTTACGTATTTAATAAAAGTATTTCTCAGCCTCTTTCACCTACCCCCCCCCCCCCCCCCACCCCCTCCCCTTAAAAAAATCATGTACTTAAATTCTTGATTAAAAATTATATGGGGTCCCGGGATGCGCTAGTTAATCGTTGATCCCAAGAGTTATACATGGCATTGTTAGACAAGCACTGTCCCCAGCTTCAAGACGACGATAACTTTGTGGCCTTGGTTTTGTGTGTTTTTTTTTTTTTTTTTGCTGGTTTCACATAACAAACAGTTCCAAAGTTCAAAGGCTAAGATGAAAGGCTTTAAGCAGTAATAATATCCGAGTAATCGACGCTCTGTGTAAGCCGATGAGACTAGAAGAAACAGATATCACTCAGGATGCTATTCAGATGACTGTGTTCAAGCAACCAACATAAACACACTTATCAAGACATACTCTGTAGGAATCACGACATTCTGCTGGTATTTAAGTATTTCTTGTTAACTTTCTGGCATCGCTTCTCGAGGACAGGAATACGGGATTCAGGGCGTCCCTTTACAGTTTTAAAGCAAAGACATCTTGTACTTCGTCTTCTGCTTGTTATCATGTTTTTAAATTGGAGATAACGTGTGTAATATACTTTAGATGTACAGACCGCGATAAACAATTTGGGTAGCATGCGTGCACGGATAGGCGATGTGGCGTAACATAAATGATTGTCTATGCTTCACTCAGGGATAAAAGGCTGACAGGAGAAGAAGAAGAAGAAGAAGAAAAAGAAGAAGAAGAAGAAGAAGAAGAAGAAGAAGAAGAAGAAGAAGAAGAAGAAGAAGAAGAAGAAGAAGAAGAAGAAGAAGAAGAAGAAGAAGAAGAAGAAGAAGAAGAAGAAGAAGAAGAAGAAGAAGATGATGATGATGATGAAGAAGAAGAATATGATGATGATGATGATGATGACGAAGAAGAAGAAGACGAGGAGAATTAAGAACTGGATAACTGGATGATTTTATTATTCTTAGTCAAACATGATAACAATTACATTAATCGACATTAATTTTGTTATACATATGACAAGTTTTCGTGATATTATTTGTGTCCTAAAAACTTTTGTTATTAAAATTTATATATTTATCCCTTCTCTTGTAGTCTGTCAGTAGACTGACTTACTGTTTTGCAAAAATCTGTTTGTATAGAAGATAGTGTCCAAGGAAAGAAATTAAAAGGTGATATAAAGGAGATTACGAGAAGAATCTTTTTATATTATAGTAAAGGTTAAGGTAAAGTCGGAAGATGTGAACCAGCGTCAATGCACACGGTTGTAAACCATAAGTGCTCTGCCACCAGTACAGACAGCTGATAAGAATTGTCCGCCTGTGTCGTCGTCCGCACGTAACTCTGTAGCTACAGCGACGTTCCTCCATTAACCCCAGAGTGTTAGCTCTGGTGCCCATTTCCTAGAGGCTGGGTGAACCCCGGGAACCGCGTGGTTTCGAACATTGACCGTGGGCTGGACTTGAAAGCGAGCCTCTTATCGACTGCGCTAACGCGGCCCCTTTATATTATAGTGTCATCAACCAGTGTTGTATTAACCTTTAATCTTCCCTAGCGGTGTAGAAAAGACCTGCTCTCTGCATTCACACCCTCCCAACAAGCATGCCATAAAGTCGATTCATTTTTCTTGTTTCCTTGGACGTCACAGGCATCTGCTTGAGAGGTAAGCACACAACTAAGCTAGATCTGTAAAACGAATATGCACTCAAAACTCATGTTATGGAAAAAGTCCAAAATTCATCAGTGGACGAACAACCAACACTTTCTGCTGGAACATCTTTTGTAAGCTAAGAAAAAGAAAAGACATGAAATGGCGCTGTACTCATTATTTTGTCCAAGAAATGGTGTTATATTAACAATTTCAACATTAGGTAATGTCCTACTAATTGTGTTATTTCACATTTTCAGAGCGTCCGTTTATGAGAAATGGCCGTACGCGGGTGCCTGCAGAACTTCATGGTCACCAAACCTGTAATATTTATATGCCTGATGATATCCCCTATAGGTTCAATTGTATCGAGTCAAGTGACTGGAGAACTGTCAGACACGCTTGATACACCAGATGCGTGTAAGTAATAGAAAACCCTGTGTCAATTACTAAAGGGTAGTAGTATAGTAGGGAGGAAATCCATATTATTTTCCTTAATCGTTTGTTTTTTAGGCTATACTAATAACCCGCCACATAATGGGGGGGGGGGGAGGCGGAAAAACAGCTGGAGGGGAAAACAAGGGCAATAGAATAGAAAGTGGTGGACAATGCTGAAGAAGTCGCTGTCTAATGTTGGCGAACTGATGACGCTTCGTGGTGGGGGTGGGTTTATAAATAGCACAACCAAGATTACGACTGAGAGCGGGGAGCATGTAGACAGTATTGATGGCTATGAACCACCTTTCCTTCAGACTGTTTAAAATTTTACACAAATACATGATTGAAAGTGGTTTAAACAATTGTCCTTTGCATTGAATCAAGTTTGTAGTATAAAATTTTAAGATAATAAGACAAAAAATAAGAACATGATTATTACAGACAATTATACTTGTGTAAATGTTGTTTCAGTGCAAGCATATTCCTCCTGGCATTGCCCAGATAACTGGGTTTCTTACATGGGTTTTAGAGAAAGCTCCTGTTTTTACATTGAACGGAGCAGTAGCAACTTCTACAACTCCAAAACAAACTGTGAGAGACTTGGAGCTACGCTTGCTGCCCCAGTGACGCAACAGAAGCGAGATTTTGTTAGCAGTGAGTGCCTTTATTGATAGTATATCTAATAACTCCCTGTGTGTGTTTCGGGATCTCATTGTAAGGAAAACAAGAATAGACCCACTACCTGCCCAAAAGCATATCGTAAGATTAGACTAAATAGGAGTTTCCTTCGAAGTCGGAGTACATCTGCCTGGGAGCAAAGGAACCAACAGTCTGCATACAAATAACTCAGACCTATGAAATGGATGTATACGCAACACTTAGCTTATAATACTTATAATACAATCTGGGGAAAATGTATACTTTGCCATTCAACACCTGCTCAAGTCTAAGTCTATCTCGCAACACCAAGACCAAAATATCTAAAACGTCGATAATGTGCTAGCGGGAAGAGGAAAAAGAAAAACAAGAGGCAGGGAAATGAGAACAACAAAATGTGGTTAGGACAATAAGTCGTTTCCCGTTAAACAGCAAAAACAAGAAAAGTAAAGAGAAGACAAGGCTTCTTCTATGTAGCGGCCATGAACTAAGCTCATAAACCAGGCAGAGGATATGTGAATGATGAGCTGAGCAACAGTAAAAACAACACACGACTACAACTACATAGGCTATGCCTAGCCAGACAACGTACACGAACTACAAGTTCTTTCGTGAATCAAGCTAATCAATATAACCATCACATTCAACATATGCTTTTTTTTCTGAGCACAAAACTAAGTGCTTCACAAATAAAAATACATTAACAACCAGCATCGTGTCCAACAGACCATGTCCTATTCACTCCAGCTAACAAGGTGATAGGATATTGAACGCATACGTTCTC